ACAGACTTTTTTCTTTTCCTCCAGAACATATTTGCTCCCCTCGGCAGCTAACGCTTTTCTCTCGTGCTCAGGACAGTGTTTGATATCAGCTTCCCAGTAAGTCTGTCTGCAGCACACATCAGCAATGCAGAGTTTTTACCCAAGACTGATGGCAAAACCAAATCGTTTCTATTTTTCTAAGCTTTCAGATCTGCTAAGATTCCTTAGTTATGTGAGGAAGAGTAGTTTGAACCAACCTTGTAAATAGAACCAGGAATTTCTACAACAGTCCAAAAACTCATTTCTAAGGAGCTCAGATTTTTCTAGCAAGCCATTATCCCCACCCCACATTTCTTCTGTATTCAAAGCCACCAGTGGCCCCACATCATAAACACTAACTGCAAGGGTCTTCAGCTCTGGAACTATGACAGTTCATACTGCTGATCACTACAGCAGCTTTCTTTTCTCTGACCAAAACATTTCTGAAATACTGCCATCACTAGGAATGTGTTCAGTATCTGTAACTGCAACAGAATCTGACCAAACTATGCATTGCAGGTACAGACTGCTTACTTATCATTTTCTTTTCACTAGAAGTTCTCCCTGTTGGAGATCCTGAATGGATCATTGCTGCCTTTCCAATTAATTCCAATCTGGGAGCTTTAAACTTAGTGAAGGCTATCAGATGATATCATTTCTCCATTCAGTAGTTTCTTACCCAAAGATAACATTTTATGATAAAACAGATGGGAAATTGCATGTTTTTTCCAAATTCTCAACATCAGCTTTTTTGATGTAGCAAACTTTTTAAAGAAGCTGAAGTCTTCCGTTCTAGAGCACCAGTAGTTTTCAAACAAAGCTATTCTTCTCCTTCATACTTTTGATGGTGTTTTGAGCCTATGTATTCCTGATGCCTGTCTTAAAGCAAAACATTTCTGTTCATTAGTGCTAATTTCATCCCAAATTAATGATTTTTCTCAATATGTAAATCTCATGAACTGACTTAGAAGCCTCTTTACTATCACTTACACTGTGTATAGATTGTTGCTGAAACATAGTGTAGATAATCATCCTTCTTTGTAAACAATGATTGGTTCCTCAGTGATAGGTCTCACTGTCTTCAGTCATGAAGACACATCAGTCTATGAGAAACACCCAGCTGGAAAGCTGAGCCTACAAAATAGTTGATTGATTTTCTTAGAAGCTTTCTCTCTTTCTTGGCTTCCAGTAATGCCTTTTCCTGGAAGCAAAGACTCTGAAAGGTGCAGCAGCATTAAAAAGGATCTACTTCCAGATATTGCAATCTGAAGCTGTGTTCTCCATGTAATAGTAGTCGTGCTCAGTTAGCTCAGCCTGGTGCCTGGATCAAACTGTACATGAAAAGCTCACAAGACAGGTGACAAAGTACCTCTGCTGTTAGTGCCATCCCTGTAACATCACCAGAGATGGGTAACTCATATTTACTCACAGGAGTTACCTTTTCTGCTATTTTGCTAGATTTGCATTTGTTGGGTTTATCAGGGGAGCTACTCCCCAGTTTTGAGCTATGTCACAAGGACAGTTCAAAACCAACAAGCTCATCAAGGACCTTCCATTTTCATTCTTTCTAAAGGCAATTTTTTTTATTTTTCTTTTTTTTTAATTATTTTTTTAGCTCTTTCAACTTAATTTTCACTTGGGTTTCTGAATCTTCAGAGATCCAGAAAGCAAAATTTTGAATCTCCCTTGGCTTCTAATATTGGCACTGCCTTTTCTGCTTTCTGAGTGAATTGATGTGCTCCAGCAACAGGGTTTTATGTTTCTTCTCAGTTGGTGGTATTCATCTGACTCAACACCAACATCTGCGGAATACCTATCTATCTCTGGACAAGGCACCCTGGGTACCCTATCATCAAGGGGAGAAAATATGGTGTGATCTATCAGGTCTGAAAGTAGATCACCTATGATCAGATGAATTATACCTTAAGAGTACTCACTACTAAATAAAAATGTCTCAGATATAAAAATTTATGTTATCAATATCTGAAACTAGCACCATTAATCAATTTCTCCAGTCTTATCCGTACACAGCCCCTAGCTCTTCTATTGTTTCATTCTCTTTGATTTTCAACTCAACAGCATCAGAAAATGGTATTTTTCAATTTACATACACCCCAAGGTGCAGATGTACCCACTGGAGACAGAGGAGCTCATCACATACATGACTGCCTACAGCCACCTACAGAGACATGCTTAGTGAGGTACGCACCATCACCTATACTGCATCTTTCTCAAGGTAAGCTTTGCATAGTAGTCAGCACTGCAGATAATTCTTAAATTAACTGTATCTGAACAACGATGAAATCAATACTCAGCATGCAGAAATTTTATTTACAAGGAAAGTGAAAGTTTTGCCTGGTAATGGATACGATTATCATTTAACTGGCTCTTAAGGTGGCAGGCATGTAGTAAAGAGGCCATGTTCTCCAGTTCCTACTGTATGTACTAAATGCATCCTCTAGCTGAAAGAAAACAGTGATTATCAGAAAGTCAATTGTCATTCTGCCTCTTTAGAAAAATTTCCATTAAAGATAAAGCCAATTTTAATTAGATTAAGTATCCAATTACTGTAATTACATTTTTAAAAAATTCACATCATGAGGATGACCCTTTTAAAAAGGGTTACAAGAATAATTAGTGTATTCATATTAACCAAAATGTATTGGATAATATTTATACCCAGAAGGCAAAGTACATTACACATATTTCACCTTTGGGGAAAGCTTGCAAATGTTTTGGCATTGGTATGAATATTTATAGGCAAGAGCGTGCTTTAGCAAGATTATATGAGAAAGCATTTATATGCTCACAAATTTTTACCCAAGGGTAAAGTATACATAAAATGTAGTGCAGAGATTATGGATATGCAAAGTACAATTTAAGAAGGGAATTTATATCAGTTTGTTTAATTAATTGGAGCAGAGGACTACCTCCCTTATTTTTGTGTGTGTGTGTGTGTCACAGGATGGCCCAAAGAATTCAAACTTGAGATTTCTCTCTGCTGATTAATGTCAGCAAGAAGAATCTGGGGAAAGGGTCTTCCCTCTGCAAGGCACCGCCTGGACCACAGGTAAGTCCATCCCCTTTAACGTGTTGCTCATCACAAGGACTGACAGTTAAGGTGTGAGCCATACCCGCTATCCCCTTGTGTAATCATAAATGCATTGTGGAACTGGCAAACATGCAGCCAGTCTCTAGTCAGCAGGGCAAACCCTGCAATTCTCAGCATGGGGAAGGCTTGGAGGTATGTTATTTGCTCATGCAATGAAGACAAGAAAACACATCTTTGCTCTAAGCTACTCATGAAGCCCCAACACTACCACAGAAGGCACACGGGATGGGGCCCATTTTTACCACTTAGGGATAACACTGACTTAGCAACTGCAAGAGTCTACCAGCTAGGCTGTTGAGCTGCGCACTAAAATCCCCTGGAGGCTAGCGAGCACAGCTATTCTATACATTCTGTATTATTTATATATATCTATATTCTATTCTATATATTCTATTCCATGGAAGTCTTCCCAGCAATTAGCATGGGTCTCATGTAACCATTGATTTCTTCTTGCTATACAGTGAATCTACATGTTTGGGAATTACCAGGGCATCACACTTTTCCTCAGAAAAAAAAGCTTCTAGACTTTCTGCTGGTGTTTGAATTTATCTAAGATTGCAGCATTTGGGCTTTATTACTTAGAAACTCTGCAATGAGAGACATTCATAGACATCTTCCAAAGCTAAGGGAGAGAACCAGTGATGACAAGTATTTTGGCAAGGGCTAGACATATGAGAAGGCTCTTAAGTAACTTGTTTGTTGGATTAACTTGTTCCTAACTTACATTTGTTTCGAGGGTTGTTCATTATTGTAGTAATTTATATGTGGCCAGTCAAGAATGAGCAGACAAAAAGAAGACAGGCTTAAAATGATTAATTCATCTTCTTTCACATTAATTTTCTCTTCACTAAAGTATTAACAATCATACTTGAGCTTTCACGCCTTTCCAGTTTTTCAGAATTGTTGAGTATTGTTTATCATTCACAGTTTAGTATTCATGTATTAAGCTGCAGATTGTACTCCAAGTAGCATCTCTTCGTGAATACTTTAACTACACGTGTTAAACTGGCTCTAGCTTCTGAAAATGACCCTTCCCTTTACAACAGCAAAAGCTGTAAATATTTGTGCAAATGCATGGTCATGTTAATGCTGACACACCCAGTATGGACATTAGCAAAAATGTGTACAATTTCCCTATTTCTCACTACCATTTCCTAGGTTATGAGTTTTCTTGCAAAATAAAGTAGCACAAGAAAATTTTTAGAAAAAGCAGAAAAACAATAAACAAAGAAATATATATTCCTGAGTCATATGGGATAAATTGTATTTATTTTTTTTAACATTATTTTCCCATGATAAGGAGAAACTCAGGGAGTTGGTAAGAATGGGACAGCAAAGAGATAGGTAGCTGGGGAAATATCAGGGTAAAATAGATGAGAAGAAAATGAATTTCTTTCTAAAGTTCCTTTGCAGAAGTTCAAATCAAATCACTTGGTGGAGATTGTTATCAATACCGGATGAATACCTATTATACTATGTGAGAAGTATTTTGCTATGAAAGCATTGTTTCTGAATATTGTTAAGACTGCATTTATATATATTTCCTTGGAAATACAAATCAAACAATGTATTTATCAACACTAACATTTAGAAGGATGTCATTCCGTGACTACATCTCTTTTGATGTGATGGCAAACAAAATTGAAAGCAATCCAAATACAGCAAAGTCCACAAGGCTGACTTTTTGGAGGACTGTGTGTGCAATTGTGCATTATATTTAGGTCTGAACATATTTATGGTATTTTACCTTACCACAAAATTACCCAAAACATCCTCTTGATTTTCTTTGTTAGGATTCTGTTTCTATAAGATCGTTTTTTTGTTTTTTTTTTAAATTATTTTTTATTTTTTATTTGTGGATGTGTGTGTGTGATTAATTTGACTTCCACAGTAACATGAATCAGAAGGATTTTACCCATGAATTCTACAAAGGACTGGATCTGTGCTTTTCGTGAAGACTCCGACCCACATCCTTAGCTTTCACTGCAAGATTTCTGTATTTGGCTATGGAAAAAAAGATAGGATTTACGAAGTCTTCCCTTTTGTCTTCTGTTTTTAACATAACTTGATACTTAATACTTCACAAGGAGTCTCTATGTACAGTCCCAATATTAAATTCCTTGCTCTAGCTCTGAGCTGCTGTTGACTTCTTAAGAGGGCCACGGGCCAACTGCCATGTCGGGCTTAGAAAGCCAGTGATTTCATGTGAAAAGTAAATTTCAGACCATCAGTTTCTCTATTCCTCCTTGGCTTTGAATGGCGTAGGTAAAAATACTGGGTAAACAGCCATCAGCATTTGTTTCTTTCTTCCATTGATCCTTCTAGGAACAAGACGAGAGCAGAAAGACAACGTATTTCATCCAAACCTCATGACTGAAAGAAGGAAGCCCCCAGATATCTTTTGTTTTGAATCAATCGCCCTGACAAGATTTGGCACTTCTAATGGTGAAAGGCTCAGGTTGTGGTGCTGCTCTCTCAGTTCTCGTTGTCATTTCTGTGCATCCCAGGAGTTAAGTGGAATGAGAAGAGACCCACAAGAATGCTGTAGTAGCACACGTTCACCTTATGGTAAGGAAGTTTGTTTTTGCTCAAGGACCAATACTTTGGGTAACTTTAGCATCTGATCATGCTGATGACTGCATGATTACCAAGAAAGCTTTTGTCTTAGTGAAGAGATCAAATCTGCTGCTTGTGGTGATAATGAGAGAACAACAATGCATTTTTATCACAGATTTAATTATTTGTTGTTATTGGATTCATCATATCTTTCTGATCAGGGTGAGGCTTCTTTCAATGCCCTACCCGCTGGTAGGGTACTTTAAGCATCAACAGCTGGTGGCATGGTTAGGAAATAAGCACAGTGAGGCACTGAACTGCTAGTACCGACAACCTTTATTTCCAAGAGCAGCAGCGGGGAGAGCCAGAAGTTCTCTTGTGAGGAATGTGAAAGCTGGTGAGTGAGTGAGTGACTGACTGGCTGCAGAGCTGTGGAAGGAGACAGCTCAGCCAGGTTAATCCAATAATGGTGAGTGGGAACCTGTCCAGGGGCTGCTGTGTCCCGAGGGCCAAGGTGTTCAATAAGAACAATTACTGGAATCATCAGTCCAGTCCCAGTTGTCCAGACAATGGATATCTCTTCTGTAGTAATTTAAGAGTCTGTGGTATTCTGCTGCTGTAGCGGTCTGCAGTGCCCGTCAGAGCAATTCTTCTCTCAGCTCAAGCCTAATTAAAGGGAACTCTTGCGTAAAGTGAGTTAAATTCAGTAGTCACAGCCCAGACCCCATGGAAAATAGTCTAATTCAGCTACAGTAATATAGCGTAATATAAATATAACGGAAATACAAAACCGTATAATTTAATTTGACGTGACTGGCAGTTTTTTGCTTAAGTCGGTGAAAATGAGTGAGCGCAAACAACGCTCTGTGTTGACACATTATTCCCAATGCAGCAGGAAGGCGGCTTCAGGACAGACCCAAACATTTATAACGACTACATTTCGCAGGGTCATCGTCGTGCACCGAATTAGTTTTAAACGCGCTCTGGACCGCCCCTCGTCCACCCTGGGATGATCCCGTATGAGGACGCAGCTGCTGGGTCAGAGCCTAAATCAGCCTTTTCTGCCGACTTTTTTTTCCTAGTTGGAAGCACCGAAGCTCCGAGCAGGCCGGCAGCCCCACCCTCACCCTGCGCCCCCTCAGCTTCCCGCCCGACGCACGCGCGCGCCGCTCGCGCCTGCGCAGCGCCCAGCGGCCGCCTAACGGTCCGTAACGGCTGCCCGGCGGCCGCCATGGCGCCCTCGACGTGCCGCAGGGTTGCCGTGGTCTCCTGCTTGGTGCTCTGCGTCTCTCTCCTCCTGCCGCGGACCTTCTTGTCTCGGGGAGGCGGCGGCAGGCAGGAGCACGGGGCCGCGCCGCTCGCAGCATCCTCTCCTCCAGAGGGTAAGAGGCCGCCGCCTGCCGCGCTGAGGCGTAGCCGGGCCGCTCCGGGTCCTACGGCCGCCGGGCACGCGGCTCTGCGCTCCCCGCCGCGCTGCGCTCGGGAGCTGACCCGCCGCCCGCTGTGGAGGCGTGGCGCGGCCGGCCTTCCCTTCGCCCTCCGCATCTGCGCCGCGTCCGTCAGGGCTGATGATGCTGCTGGATAGGTCTCTGCGTCGAGAGCCCGTGTGCGAGTGCTGTGCTACGGCGACCCTTCAGTGGTTGCTGTGTGTTCTTGTTCTCGAGGAACTGAATATAGGCTCAGGCACGCTGCGGATCTACAGGTCCGGAGTTTCATTGCATAATCTCAAACGTGAGAAACCTAAATCATAACTAGTTGGTTTTTTTTTTTGGTAGTACATCAAATACATCGTTCTTAGTTGCTGGCACCCGCAGGTGCCCACCATGTGGCACATAGGCTTGGTGAGGAGTGTTGACTCAAAAAAAAACAAAACCCAAATCTTCCCAATCAAAAACCAATAACCAACTGAAAGCAAGTGCCCCAAGTTATTGCCCCCAAGTCATTTTCAGTGGCGTTTGCTGATTAATATGTTGTCGCCTGTTCTGGCACAGCCTGCTTTAATCATTGCTGTTGTATGGTAACTGATCAGCCATAGGTCAGTGCTTGAAGTAAATAGCATAAATGCTCTCTCCATCATCGGAAGAGAGCTCAGACAGTTTTCTGCATGGTGTCAGAGGGATCCGTGCCTCCCAGGTTACTGTGTGCCTGGATCAGAGGAGCACTCAGCTCATCCTTTGACTGGCTCCAGCCCCTGACTTTGGCTGAGGATGTAATACCTCATCTCATTTAGCCAGCTTCAGACTAGACTTTATTGTCTGTATTTTCAATTTGATAGCAGGAATGACATTATACCTTCTCTGCGGACCAAACTTTGTTTCACCTGAAGTTGGTTTTGAGTGGAAGAATAAATCTTGATCGAGCAGTTCATATCTCTTGTCATTAGCTGTTGCCTCGAGCGACCTGCTAACTGCGGCTACCTGCCAAAAGCTTCAGCTTCACAGACTTGAATAGTGCAACTCTTGAAGTTAATAAAATACTTAGTGCAGTCTTGGGGGAAAAATGCTTCCAAATGAGGCATTCTTAAAGTTACTGCCACTTGTTGGAAATGGGTGTAATCATAGGACTTTTCATTAAAACAGCTTGGAAGTAGTCTGTTCATAGAGAATGTTAGGCAGGGTACTCTACAAATTGATATTCCAAGAAGAAAGCTGTTCTTTTTCCTTGTAATAGTTTGAAATATACTACAATAATTTACAGAATGTGCTGTGTTGTGTTGGAGTACCAGAAGAATACAAGATTGGTCAGACAACTTATTTGCCCAGTTGGAATCTTGTGTAGTATGTACCAGATTTCTTTTGGATGGTCTGAGTATTACCAGCTGTTTGTTGTTGTGGTAGGTTTACTTTAGTTGTGTTGAAGCTTTTCTATGTTCAGCTGAGTCTTAATATTGCTGAACGATGAAGAACTAAGAAGTTCTGACATTATACTGCTGTTAAGCATCACATCAGCTACCACTGTGTTAGGGCATTAGGATCTTGTAATAGCATGGGTTAGGTTGTGTAATTGACAGTGGCATCCAGATGTCTGCATGTTCTCATTTATATACCACGTATTTGGCAGCTCTTTTCACACGTGGCAACTTGCATGTGCCATTGATTTCCTGAACAGTTTGTATGGGTTTTTCACAATAGAGGACATTTTACAAAGGAGATCATTATAAAAGTTCAAAATCAACAAGAAGGATCGAATGCTAGAAGCCATTAAACTTCCTTAAGAATTATTTTGATAATCAAATGATCAGTGCTTTTGGCCTCAAATTAATCCATTTAAGTACAGATTCACCTTTGCCAATAATTTTCTCCATTCTCTCTCTTTTTTTTTAATGAATAAAGAATATTTACATGAATGTAAAACGTTTTACAAAGGTTAAATTTCTGCTGTAGCAATAAGAATTTCTTGTAAATAAGATGTTTTGATTTCCATGATATACTTTGAATAATTCACTGCAATTCAAATGCACTGTAACAGCTTCCTCATAGTGAAGGCTGAGTTAGTCTGAGAGCATTCTGGTCAGAGGGGCACGCCTGTGTGGTTTCATTAAAGCCTAAGTAGTCAAAAAATCCATGTCATCATCTAGAAGAAAAATGTTTTAATAGTGGGACTTCACAAATTATTGATACCACTTCCTAATATGTTTATTGCAATTTTCTGTGCTTTGGGAATTTAGCTATGGCAGTGTTTCCTAGCAAGAACAAATGTTAACATAATGTAATTTTCTGTTGTCTCACTTCCAGAAAAATAACTGCAGGTGAGTACTTGCATGAGTTAAGCTAATTAGACTGAAGATTGAGTCTGCAGATATTACTTATGGTCTTGCAGGCTATGTTTTCATAATTGGTGGTGCATTTACAAGAGATCAGCTGCGCCTGTTTGAGTTTTGGACTGCGTGGAAAAAGGTGTAAAAAGTAATAGAAAGAAATAAGTGTTTGGTGTGTTTTATTGCAGGGAAACTCGGTCGCTTTCCACCAAGGATGCATTACCAGGCAACTCCCGACAGCCGAGCTGCCCCTCCTTTCCCAAGGTCTCACCTTGCTGAAGCAGTCGCCAAGGCCAAGGCTGGAGGAGGTGGTGGAAGTGCTGGTGGAACTGGGAGAGGTCTTGTGGGGCAGATCATCCCTATATATGGATTTGGCATCTTCTTGTACATCTTGTATATTTTATTTAAGGTAAGAAAATTGAAAATAATTGAAAAGTCAAGAATATAACAATTAAAAATACTCAAAACAGAAATGTTAATCCATCTCCGTACCAGGTCTCATCTTGGCCTTGCTCAAAAATACACTTACCTTTGACTTAAGTCTAAAATTATTTTTGACTTTTTGACTTTTTGACTTAAAAGATGGATGTATACTATATAGTTTTTGCTATTGCATAGACTGTAACTGAGTGCAGCAAGGTGTTGCTACGATCCTGCATTGGCCTCTGATGTGAGAAAATCTTAAAGTTTTTGTGTTTTTTTTTCTGCTGGAAAATATGTATGTTTGGTCATATGTTAGATTAATTTTGAATCTACACATAGTATTTTTTTATAAAATACTGTATATTATACATACTTATATATCATGGATTGCAATATGCATTTTAAGTGAGAGAGATGGAGTATCATTATTGAATTCCTTCTGGAACAGAAGCACCCTGTTGGTAGAGAATGGGAATTGTAAGGTTGCAGTGACCACACTGGAACTACTCCAACTGAGGTGCTGGCTGAAAGTACAGCCCTAATCCCAACCAAGTGTTTTGCACGTGATTTGAACTTAAAGCTTTCTGTGACACGGATGTGCCACGCGTGTAAGTGATTATAGCCAGCTGCTGTGGAAGGAAAAAGGGGACAGAGTCTTGCAGATTATGTATTTTTTTTCCTTTGAGCAGGGGTTTAAGACAGACAGGTGTTCATACAGTTGAGCCCACTCCAGAGAGGAGGCAAGTTCCGGGGTAAGGGCAAGGTGAATTGGGTGAGCTGATCAAACATGGAGAAGAGGAAAGAAATAGGGAGCTTGCAGCTGCTCTACAGAGCCAGGTGGTATTGTTGCCGCACATACTTATAACTTCTTCAGAAGATTTCACTTTTCACATTTCAAAACAATAATTTCTTCCCTCGTATAAGCAGAATAACTATAGAATCAGGCCCTTTCCTGCAACAGATAAATATTCTAAAATTAAGTTATGCTTACTTTATGCTTCAAAATAAAATTGGTTCCAAGTGTCTTTTAGGAATTTTCAGCTGAGAAGATCTCCTAGGCATCTTTCATGATTGTCTGTTTTTGCTGCTGGGGATGTTTTTCTGTGATTAATTCCTAGCATAATTTTAGCTTTCTGTCCTTTACTTGGTTGCCTTTGGGCCTCATATATTGCTATTGCTGTAACTCACCGAGGGGTTGGCTTTTTTCACTTATCAGCTGGCTTCCAAGGGAAAAACTACCCCTGGAGAACGGAAATGCCCTCCTGCTGCACCTGGAAACATGAAGAGGAAAATCAGTAAGTGCTTTTTATTTTTAAATTGTATGTGAGAAGCCATTGACTCTGTATAGTCACAGTCTCACTGAGTTCTTCAGGTTCTGGACATGCTGTAAAACTGTTCCACTGCGTGAGGAGCAAGCCAGAAGAGTCTGTGTTAAAGTGAATTACTGCCCCATTGCTTTCTAATCTGATCTGGTTGGTGAGAATATATAATAGTGGCCTTGGAGCTATTTGCTGCAAAGCTAATGTAACCAGTAATTAGCAAATAGATAAGACGATGCTCATCTATAATGTTCCAGTAATAACATAGACCATATTCTTAAAAGCTATCTTCTTCTTTTTTTTTTTTTTTTAATTTATGAATTCTTAGCCATTAGCAGCCTCTTCCCTATTTTTTCCACTCCCTGTTTGCACTGCTTAACTTACTAGCGACTTCAATATAAAGAAGGCAGACAGGATTCTAAGTATTTCTATAATTGTAGCTAAAACATCAGTGAGTTAACAGATTCAACTATTTGTAGATATTTATTAGCTATTAGTTACCCTATCAGGATTTAAATGTGTTGTGTTTAGCTGATTAAATTGTAATAGGAAAGAAAAGTGCTTGAGTTTATAGAAGATGGTAACAGTAAGCTAATGCTCTTCACACAGCTGTAATTAACTTATATAAAATCTGGCATTACTTAACACGCTCAGTAATACAAGTGCACAGAAAATTGTACTGCATTGTGCTTGGAGATTTAGTGCAAATTATTGACAATAGTAGCTAATTTTTTTCTCTTAATGCATGAGTGTCCAACATTTGGTTTGCCTGGGCTGCACTGAGTAAGGAAATTGTCATGGGCAAGTTGCTCTGAAAGTAATGCCTCCTATTTATTTCCATGGATAATGCAAGAGATACAAAGAGCACAATAACACTGGCTGATAGAACAAATTCTCAGCTACCAAGACACCATCTTTACTCTCAACTCCTTTCTCTAAATTGGAGACAATATGGATGTTCCCAGACGTGTGCATGTGTGTCTGTTATTGTACTATGGACATTTTTTCTGTGGTTATACCTTCTTCTAAAACAGTGCTTTGTTCTCCAGACATCATGTGGTTAGCTGATGTGCACCCCAGGGACCCCGATGGATGGATAGCTCTCCCTGCCTACGTTCCCACACGTGTGCAGGGTCAGGTGCCACCAATCCCATGGTGGTTATTCTGTTTGCCTCATTCACTCTGCTTATTGGGAGGAGCCATTGAAAGAAGGTGCTTTCTGTATGTCCCATTATCATTGGCAATGCTCTTCACTGTTACACCGGGAAAAATCTGTTGAACTCTTTAAGCTGTGTGTTTTGGTTTCCTTACAGTCAGTTTGCTACCTGTGATAAAGAGACAAAGGATTTTGTTTCTTTTACAGCTGACTATGAGCTTACCCAACTTCAGGAAAAGCTGAGAGAGACTGAAGAAGCTATGGAAAAGTTAATCAACAGAGTAGGCCCTAGCTGTGACAGGTATGTTTCAAACTACAGCATTTTAAGGAACAGTTATTTTCTGACTAGGAATTGAATTTTCTTACCTTGGCTACATAAAAATAGTGTTATAAATTCTATTTGGAAGTGTTGAAATTTAATTTTAAGCATGGTGCTTTTTGTTCTGCAGTCTTTTCTTCTCAAGGCCTATATTTATATCATAATTCTTTCCAACTTCATGTTCCTTAAACAGAACAACAACCAATCCTTATCCTCCCCATTTTGAATAGTGCATTATTTGGAAGATAATTTATTATCATTTGAAGGAGTTTAGACAGCTGTGTCTAAACTGAAAATGTGCATATAAAGTATATAAAACAACCTGTTTTTATGTCACTGAATAATTTGCTGAGTGATTCCCAAGTGAAACATTTGTTTTATGGTGTTTTCTAGTGCTATGAATTTTTTTAATAGAAATGCTTTGATAATCTCTGTAAATGTCTGTTAGAATTTCCATAAATTACATGTTTGAAGGCAGAATTGATAATAACGTGTATGATAATTTGGTTCCACTCCATAACCAGTAAATGCATGCGTTCTCTTAGAAATACAAGAGAAAAGAGTGGCAAAATCAGGGTTTAAACATATGTTTATTAATGTTTGCTTTAAACTTGAGAGGAACAGTCTATCTTAGAAGGAAACATTGCTAACAAGTTTATATTTTTGTACGAAGTGTAACAGGACATCAGCTTGATAATGCAAAACTGCAGTGTCCGAAAAATGAAATACCACAAATACCAAGGCAGTCTGCAAGCAAAAAAGATAGCTTGTAACACGTTAACTTCTCCTGGATCCATCCGTGCTTCTATTTTAAACCATTCTTTAGAAACAATTCTGTACTGAACTTGCCTGTTACATTCATTTTGCTGCAAATCCCGTCTTCTATGTAATTTTGTCTGCTTTGCACCAGGGCCTCTGCTGCAGCTGCAGTGTTCTCAGCAAGGTGAGATGCTACCTGAATTAGGCTGAATTTTGGTAGGAGTCCCTAAGCTACCTTGTGTCTGTTGGTGAAACAGGATACTGTTTTGACTATTTGACTCACCTGTTTGGAAAATTTAGCAGTGTTTTATACTTACCTTTAGGCTGCCAGGATTAGGCTTGTATGCCTCTCAAACACTCAGGACAAAATATTTTTTACTGATGAGTTTAGGGTCCAACGCAGTATTTGTTCCATTCAGTGCAATTGGCTGAGAGCTTTTATTTAGTAATGCTTCCCTTCTTTGTTCACCCAAACTATTTATATACATGGATCTGAAGACCTCAGGGAAAATCAGAAATGGAATCTCATAGTGAATTTTGAATGTAGCCTCTCTTTAAAAGAGAGGAAGGCACCTCTAGATGGAGCAAATAGTTGTGTTTTTTTCAAATACACCAAAGCCTTTGAAGCTTTTGAGGGAAGGAGATGGTACTCAGTGGGATACAGTTTGGGGGCTATAGTGCATTTTAAGTAGTAATTATTTCAGCGTACCCTGGTAAATCTGTATACAGGCAGCCAGACATCTCATACATTGCAAGCATCCTACAGCTAAATCTTCCTGGAGACCTTAAATTAAGTAGAAACAATGCATAGACTTTGATTTCTCCCTGTTTAAGTAAAACTTGTGTTTTAAATAAGATACCTAGAGTGGGAATGGATCTCTGAAGTGCTCATGGAGACCTTGTGTTGCAGTAAGAAAGTACTGCTTTCTATTGGGAATATCCAGCATATTAAGAATTCTGATATGAAATGCCACTGTTTTTTAGCTGCAGTGATCGGTCCTATTATTTGTGCTGGCATATCTCTGCACTGTGCTAAACGGACAGATCTGTCTGTCTTTATCCAGGTGATATATATTCAAATTACATACACTTCTGTCTAGAAAAGGAGGATTAGTTTGGCAGTTCTATTAGAGCTTCTGTCAAAGGCAGCTAGCTGATGAACCCATTTATTTTCACGTGCCAGTTAATTCGCATTTTGAATTGTACATCTGCATAACCCAGGCTTTTGAGAAGATGCTGTCTCACACCTTCGCTTGTTCTGTGCAGCAAACTGCCACACAGCTTGATGGGACTCAGTGTAACCTCTGTGTAGGGTTGGGATTGTATCAGCTCTACAAATTGAGGGCAAAGAACCTCTTAAGGGAAGCACAGAGAAGTAGCAAGGACAAGATTTCTGACACTTCAATCTTTTCGTCAGCAAGACAGTTCCTATCTGGGTAGCTGCTGGTGATACCAGTGGCTTCTGAGCTCCATTCTGTTAGCATGCAGTGGTGTGTGTAACCGTGCACAAAACAAACTAGCAATGTGATGCTGATCTTTGTCTTTACACCAGTATGGCACTGCTGCCTTAGTGGAGTAGCTATCACGTCATCATCATTCCTCTGTGTGTAGCACAAGGCATCCGTTAAGGTGCTGATCTATTCACAAAGGTCAATAAGAAGAAAAACTGAAGAGTGGATGCTGCAAGCTTTTGAGAATTTTGGCACTTGTTAAAAGATTTATGTAGATATTTAGCATCTAAGTCTGAAATCATTAATCAGTGCTCTCTCCATCTCACCCGACTCACTGAGCAGCTGTTGGAGATGATCTGTCTGATGGTGTGGAGATCATCAGAGATCATCTGTCCGACCTCAGATATGCCTGCAGTTCAGCATTCTGTGCATGATGAGAGTCACTCTCTGAAAAACTAGAGGTTGTAGATCCTGTTTAAAACACAGCAAGATTCAAAAGGGAGCCAGAGTAATGCCTGTGTCCCCTGAGGGCCTGGATTGGTCCTTACAGAGAGATCAAACATCCTCTCAAGAACAACATGAAACAGAAGATGAAACAAAACCAGTCAGAACCATTTTCACCTGAAGTACAGCCAGTGTTCTTCCTTGCTATAACCAACTGAGTGACTTACTAGAGCTCTCCAAATGCTACTTTTTTGCAATAGGATTTTCACGAGATGATGATTATTTATTTATTTTTTTTAGAGAAAATAGCATGTAACAACTACATAATCTTATCTGTTGGAATCACTTTGTTGTAACAGTAATTGCTTCACCTGAGGAGTAGTAATCATTTTGGAATAATTCTGTTATCACTGGTGGTAATCACAAAAATCAGCCATGTAGAACCAGTGAGAATTACAGTTTGCTTTTAATCTGATAAAAATCTGTCTTCTCCCTCTCTGATTCTAAAGGGCAAGTTAAATGTAACGACTTCTTAGCAGTTTTAAACCTTCCTGCTCCACCACTTGTGCTCAACCATCATTGTTGGATTTGTTCAATGTCAGTCCAACTGGCTTACTTCTTAATGAGGCCTTGCAAATCTAGTATCTTTAAGGGTCACAGGACAGCATTAGACTATTGAGACTAATGCCTGTGTGAGACATTTTGATCAGGCCCACATTTTATTTAAATATAATTTAGATTCTGAATTGCATTTTCTTACAGTACTTCAAAAAGGGTACAGTTCTGTAATTTTCACCTAACAGACTGAAACTCTAAAAAGAGTTTTTGTAGTGTCTTCTGTACCATGGAATGCTATCTAAATCTGCCTGCCGTGATCTGTTTAAGTTTGCAGGCTTTCTAGATAAATGGATAAACCTTTTTACTGAATTGAAGCACAGACTACAAGAATGGTGATCACACTGTATCTGGGTTTCTCCTGACTGTCCTACTCAGAGTAACAGTTGTGCCCAAACTCTGTAAGCAATCTGCAGTAATCATGGACTGAATTCTGTTGTCTGATGTTTTCTACCAGGGTTCAAAATGTTACAACAGACCAGGAAAAAAGGTTACTTCAGCAACTCCGAGAAATTACTAGAGTTATGAAGGAAGGCAAATTCATAGATGGCATCTCTCCTGAGAAAGAAGCTGAAGAAGCTCCTTACATGGAAGACTGGGAAGGTAAGCAAGAGTCTTTCTTATCCTGATGAGGAAAACTGAGCAAGGCTTGCTTGTAGTCTGAATTCCTTTCAAAATCTAACTTCAGCTTTCTTTTTCAGAAAGCAATGTTCAAAGCTTTGCAAGAGGTGCTTTGTTTTCCCAACCATAACAGGAAAAAAAAAATATTCTAGGGCAGCCAGCATTTCCTTTATCGTAAAGTCTATGCTATCTGCTGCCAGAAGTGGCACATGAATATTCACATACACTGCTAGGTCTTGGCTGCTGTAGGTTCATCTTTTCCTTTCTTTGCTAGGCTGGATCTCATAGAAAATTGTAGAGCCGTTAGAAATCAGGATCAATTTGGAAAACTTACAGTTTTTACTTTTGATTTGTTTGCTCCAATGCTGTAATAGACAACTCCAGGAAGTCTGTTAAAGATCCTTAATTATAATGTCCTTTCTGTTCCTTATTGTTTACTTGTTTCAGAAATGTATTTTCAAGACATCCTAGTTGAGCTGTTTGCTTTCAGAATTCTAAATGCATCTTTATGCAGATCTAATTCCTTGCTCCTTAGGAAGCAACGTTTCCTAATATAAAGCATAAACAGCTGCCTCAAGCTCTTTTTTCTGAAGTCAAGCTCATGATGCGTGTTTGGCACTGAGCCATTGACTCATATCTGTTTTCCAGCTTTATAAATAATGCTTTTTGTCAAAAAAAAGTCTGTAAAGCACAGATCATGCTATGGACAGGAACAAAAGTGGATATATTTAAAGACACCCAGTTTTCACCTATTAGCTCCCATAGCTTTCAGCAGAGCTTAAATACTCGCTCTTGGAAGCTTCTGGGTTGAAATCCTGACTCCCTAAAAATCAGAGGAGTTTTGTCATCATCTTCCAAGAAGTTGTAGTTTGCATGTTCTTGCTGTGACATTAAATGCTGTCATAAATACATAGCCTTAAGTAGGTGCCAATTATGCTGTCAGTGCCAAGAACAGTTGTTCTAACACTTCTGCATCCATCACTGAAATTAGTGCTACTTTTATGTGCATTTCAAGCTACTTGTCACTTTATTCCTAAGGTTACCCAGAAGAGACGTATCCCATCTATGATAATTCCGATTGCTTTAAGCGCAAACAAGACACCATCCTTATTGATTATCCTGATCTGAGCCAGCCCTCTGCAGAAGAACTGGCAGAAAGAATGGAGGGCATGGAAGACGAGGAGTACCTGTGCAATGAAGCTCTGCTATCTGATCTGACCATAGGAAGGGATGGCTATGATTCAAGGCAGAAAAAAGATGAGGTAGCTGGCATCAGTGAAGGGGAGAAGGACCTTCAACACAGCCAAAGCACTGAGGAGTGCTGTTATTGTTATGAGGAGGAGGATGATCCTGCTATAATAGCAGAAAATGCTGTATTTCATTCTGAAAGCTGCAGCGAAGCGGAAGAGGCAATCTCAGAGGACCTGTCCATGGAGTTTGACAATGAAAACACAGCACTGAAAAACCAAAAAGCCAGTGATTCAGATGAAACAGGCACGCTGAGAAAGCGCAACACAAAAGGACTTGAGTAATAGTGACAATATGTGGATGCCATCTAAGTGGTGACAGTAAAGGTCAGAAACCGTCAATTTGTGTGGCTTTTGTCCCTAAAGAACAGTATCCTTTATTCTTCTTGTACTGACTTCATTCTCACAGTAAGGGTGACATCCTCTACCTGAACTGGAAGCTCTTTCATGCAGTTCTTCTCAGCTCATTGCTGCTTTGCAGAGAGCACTTTATCATTGCTTTTAGGGACTGATACATTGAAGCAGGTCATTCCATTCATGTATTTGTGTTTTTATTGCTTTCCAGTTTCTGAACAATTCTTATTTTTTTCTTGTTCAAAAGTAAACAAATTATCTTTTCTCAAAAAAAAAAAAATATCAGTGTGTTATCAGTTATGAAAATTAATCAAATTCAGATACATTGAAGAGATTGTTAAGAAGCGGGAGGAGAATCCCAGATCACCAGGACATATCTTGAGTTTGGGGAAAGAATAGCAACAACAACAAAAAGGCATCTTTCACTACATGCTTGTATCTGGTTTGTTGTGCAGTGGGTGTCTGCTATTGAGGCATCTCTTTTGCTTTTGTTTTCATTGATTGGTTTTCCAGGTTACACCTGCAGTCTGATGTTTACAGCGTGTACGTTATTTGTAAAGAATTCCTACTGTAGGAATTAAAGAATAAATAAGAAGAGTAAGTTAATGATGGTGGAAGAGAGAAAATGATAGAAAAAACATATTTGATACTCTTTGTTACTGGAAGTGTTTATCTTCTGAAATACTTTTGTAAACTTGATTTTATTTATTTATTTATTTATCTGGACTTTCAACACTCATTCTCTCTTCACTATGGCAGTTAGTTTGACCTCTGTCTCTGAGCAGGGCTTGTGTTCTCTTTGCTGGGAATCCTGGCTGCACAGCTACAACACGCAGGACCTGATATGCAGTGTTTCTGTCTAAGCCAGACTCTGTGCAGGTGAGAACACCAGATCATATTTGTTCTGCTTTAGTCATTGTCCTTGAGCTGGAGCACATCAGCTGGTATCAGTCATAGGGAAGGCTGTTTTCACTGTGGGCATTTCTTGTTCTTCTGTAGACATAGTCAAGCTAGACTGATACAGCTGGATGACTTGCAAAGCACAGCCTTTATTTGCTGACTTTCCAGTGTTAAGACGCAGATGAAGGCTGCAAAGGATGTAGCAGTAACCCAACCTGTTGCCATGAGAAATAAGAATTCTTAGGTTTGCTGCACCTTTTAGAGATAGATTTTACCTGTCTATAGAAATAATGTGCTTATGTTGTACTTCAGATTCCAGCTGCTTATAATGAATGGTATGTGAAATTTTAGTAGTTCGGTTTCATTTAAATTCATGCAAATTTGTGCGTTTAATTGTGCTCAGTGTATGGAAAAGTGACACTATGCATGAAGTACAAGGTAGAGTTTTTAGCTGTGTACACTGAGAAGCTAAAATTTAGTAAGTTGTTATGCATAAGGAACTCCATGCTCCAGAATGTGTTAGTTGTAAATATACTGCAGACTGCAGCGAAACACTCTTGCTGCTGCCAGCTCTATTCATTTCAATATTCAGAAGTCACTGTTTGTGTGTGTTGCACTGGATGGTTCATACATATGTGCGATAAATGTTCCCGGTGACCTTTTGGTGGTCGGTGTGTCTGTTTTGAGTAGGCTGACCTGACCTTGAGACAGCACTGAGAATGAAGGCACAGAAATGTAGATTATATCTTTTAACTTGTGAGCACTACATTAGTAATGGCCCAAATACTGCAGTGGTAAACCCAATAGCCAGGCACGTAACATGGAAACCTCTTGAAAAACAGAAAGGCACCCCTAATGCCATAAATTTACTAACAGTGTATTTTGACATGATGTTTTCTGGAAGGAGAATAAGTGATTGATAGTAAACTAAGAACTAGGTCCACATGGCTAAGGAATAGCCAGCATTTTAGGTGTTCATTGGCCTAGCAGTTCTGTTTTCTAAGCACAGCAGAGGAAGCGTAAGGTTCCTGCTGTCAGACATGACCCAGCAAAGTTGAGAGTTGTTTCAGCTGGAAAGCAGAAATGCCAAAGGGAAGACTTACCCTTAAAAAGATGATTTTTGGACTCAGAGGTTGCTATGTCAGCTTATAAATCTCAGCGAGGAATTTGTCAAGCACTGAAGGGCTGTCTCAGCCTTTTCTCATGGAAACTAGGGGCAGAGGCAGCTCACCACAGTAGTGGGGGGCATTTGTAAATCCTAGCACTGTAATCTGAAGCAAGGTCCTCAGCTGTTCCCCAGGGGTGGCCTACCAACAGGCCATAGGCTTCTCAGCATGTCCTTTGGAACTGTTTGACTTCGTATTGGCAGTTAAATTCTTGTATCAGCAGGAGAAATACCAAGAAATTGATGAGTGTGACAATACTATGCTTCCAGTTTAAGAGCAAAAATTTAATCCCTAAATCGTCTGGATTTTGACCTTGATCTCTTCCAGCCTCCCAGTTGAAAACGTTCCCTTCTAATACAGGGACCAGTTGTTAGGACTGCTTGTGATACCTGCGATACACACCTAACAGCTTCATATTCCTTTGCAGTGCCAGTAGGACAAAATGATACTAATGCAGGGTGACAGTGTGGTGCCAAAGAGTCTAAACAGCTCTGGCTTGAGGTCTTGATCAACTTGGCAGCATCCAGGGTACCAGGAAGTACTCTTAGGACATTGCCTGTGATACCTCATGCAGCAGCTTAACAGCAGCCTTCAAACTAATACTCTTCTTGTTCATATGACACTGCTTTTCTTTTCTTCAGCATTCCTCCCTCTCTGAGGAAAGAAATGTGTATTTATTTGTTTTAGAAAATCACATCAGAGGTTTGTCCAGCAGTCTTAATTATAAATAGCTTGTTTTTAGTGAGGAAGAGTTGTAATTTGAAGAAGAGCTTGTTATAAAATTGGGATTCTGCAAAGAACCTCTATTAGACAATAAAATGAAAATCATAGGTCAGAACATCAGCAAACCCTGGACTTGGGGAAAAAAAATGCAGAAGCTCTGGTCTCCCAATGAAAGCAGTCAGGCTTAGTAAAAGTGTTTGTTCTTTTACTTCAAATGTTTCTCAAAAAGATGAGTATAACTTTTATTAAAGTTAAATAAACAAGATGTGTTCTTTAACTTAGATATTCTGATAAAATATTGCCAACACTGAAGTGCTAATTATTCCTGGGGGTTTGTTAATGGTTACAGATAATTACAGAAATTAGATGAGATCAAAAAATAAGGCATGAAATAGGAGTGTTGGTCCCAAAAATAAAGCAAAAAGGATTACTAATGTTTGTAGAACAGGCAGACATGTAGGAAGTTTATGATCTGACTCATTGCACCAGAAATTAAGGTTTTTATGTTGATTTCTTTTTTTCCAACTAACTGACAATATGAAAATTATGATTAATTGTGAGGTCACAAAACAATCTAGTGCAATAATCATAAGTGTTTTTACCCACATATCAAAATATTGTTTATAACTTACATATCACAAGCACTGGACAAGATAACCCAGTTAAGAGTTACTGAGTAATCTGTGTTTCAGTCTTTTTGTACAACCACATACGTCAATGAAAATGTATGACATGGTAAGTCATGCAGCCTGAGTATCCCATGTACTGGGAAGGTTGTTCTAGCCAAGTGATTTCGTTCAGCTTGGGAGCTTCACCAGTTTTAGAGAGGGGCAGATTCCTGGAAAACAAACAGGCAGTTGACACAAGGCTCACTTTTCTCAGTTATCTTTCCAGGATGCGTTAAGCACAGCCCAGCCCTTCCTCTTTGCTGCTAACTGCTATTGCTTAATGCAGAGATTACTCAAATGTACATTATTCCCAACAGAAGAAACTGTGACTCTCTCATTAATGAAAGCTTCTAAGATTCTAAAATTGTTCATTTCTAAAATGATCTGTGCCAAGGGCCACTAGAGCTGTAGTCAGGAACTTTTGGCTCCATTTTGAATTATCTGTGTCCATTGGAGAGATGGGGGACGTGTCTTTTCTCTCTTCCCATAGTCACTTGAAGCTTAAGGGATCATTGGGATTGTGCAATGGATTATTCTTGCCTAAGCTGTTTTTTGCTCTTGTCTTTAAAAAACTCTGGCCCTGGCTTCTCTGACCGCTTTTCAGACTAATGTTTGTACAAATGAGTATGCCAGAATTGTAGTCCTTAACAGATAGCTGGAACTGGTAACAGTATTGAGGTGGCAGGAACTTGAACGTGTTACTCAAGCAGTAGGGACCTAAGACAGCAAATACCTGAGTGTCTGCTTGGGCACTGTTCATTAAGGATTTCATGGTCCTCTTCATTTTTCCTGCTGTGTCCAGATTGCAAGGCGTTGAGCGTGCAGTTCAACAAAAGCTGGCAGGCTGAAAAAGTTACAGAGCTGGTGAAGCTGGGACTGATACAATAGCTTTTGAAAGTGATACTTCGTGGTTGAAATTCATGTTAGTATTAAAGGTAAAAATTCAAACCGCTCCATACGGAATTTAAACTCCTAATCTAGAAAACCTCTGTATTCTGTGTTAAGGCATTTCTGACCTTAGGTATGATAAGACATAGTTGTTTCCAACAAATGAAGTTTAATATTTCTATACAGTGTTCTGTATTAACAAACAGTGAAACCTCTATGACATAAATAATGTAAATAATGTAAAAAAGAAAAAAAGAAATCAGTCATTGTATATAGCAGTAAATAAACACATTACTCCAGAATTCCAAAGAATTTCTTTAAAAAAAAAAAAAAATTACTTCAAAAAAGCACATTCCTGCAGTTTTACCTGAAACTTCACATAGGTCTAAACCAAAGGAAGATGCTTAACTATTCAAAACAGGACAAGACATCTTGTGCAAACAACTGTAACAGAGTGGAGGCTTTATGAAGAAAACATGACTGGTTCTCAGGATTAAGACAATTTTTGTCCATATTGATATTTTCCATTTTTAAAATTCCATATAATTTGAAGGAAGTCTAGACTATAATGTACTCACATCTTCTTGTATGTCATTGGTTTATTTAAGAAAGGCAAAGAGATGCATTAGAAAATGTTTACGGTCGGAATAAAAAAAGAAATCACAGAGCTGCTTTCTCAATATATGGGTATAAAAACATCCATGTAGAAGTTACATTTTCTACTTGGAGAAGTCTCAGTAAACAAGTCAGAAACAAAGGTGTGTTTCTCTTCACAGGCTGATACATTCCCAACAAATGCTAAAACATTCATTTCTGCAGCTGCTCTCAAACAGTGGATCTTTCAGCCCCTCGCTTGCTGGATGAGAACAGTGTTGGGAAGCTCAGTGTCTGCCAGGAACTTTCAGAAATGTACCATGTCAAAAGTATGGGCTTTCTGAGATACTGCTAAAGGTGAATCATAGAAGGGCCTGGGTTGAAAAGGACCTCAAAGATCATTGAGTTTTAACGGCCCTGTTTGCGCAGGGCTGCCAACCACCAGACCAGGCTGCCCAGAGCCACATCCAGCCTGGCCTTGAATGCATCCATGTGTATCAATTGCAAAATGTCCCCCATAGGTACTTCTTCCCTTGTTGCCCTACTGTTAAAAGTGCAAGAAACTGTTCAAAAAGGAGACACAGGATCCCTGGTCTTGTAATGATGTTGGTATGGGTGGACTGCCAAAAGGAAATGCACACAGTTGGCTACCTTAAATACAGACACTTGTATGAAGACTATTTAAGAGAATTTCTTTTTTAAGCTGGTCCAATAAAGATTTCACTTGTTCAGGATGGTTTTAGAAGTGGCGTCAAATGATAGTCTTTTATGGATATCTTGCAATAATTATCTTGAAGACAAATTAATAAATTATTTCATTCTGTCAGTGTGGACAGTGGAAAGGAAAGTCAATTAATCCATAGCTAAGACTAATAGAATTTTAAGACTATGTAATGTATGTGTGTAGAACACATAGATTAGCATTATGTACCTCTGGAAAATGTTAAGTAAATCATAAATTAAACCTACTCCTAATAATGAGAATCCTGCCATGCAGGGCAGGTCTCTGCGCCTTCTTTATACTATGCATCTCATCAAGGTGACCTTATTTTCATGTCACTGAGTACAAGATTTTTTTTATTTGAAATAGTTTCAATCACAAGTAGAGAATTGTACACTTTATAGATTCTGAGAAGATGAACAAAGCTCCAGTATTTATCTTTCTCAATACATATTTACTAGTAACCCACTGAATAAGGTTTGCTTCTTACAGACCTTGTTTCTTAGCGAAATCCTATATATGATTTGGAATTCTTGTGCATGGTCAGTTATTCAGTATTATTTCTTAAAACATGGACAGGTATCAACAGAGTTTTGTTTTTCTAAATGCCTTGATTAATTGCAGTAGTAACATCAAGTAATTTTATGGCATGTTTAATAGAAAAGGGCAGCTTCTTCCCTGACTGACATTTTAGTGTGAACAAGGTATGGGCAAAATGCTCGCTTCCCTCTAAGCCCCTGTGCAGAAGTCTTTATGCCAATAATGCCTGATTTCTGAGGAGCCTATCAAGAAGAAAACATAAGGACTCTTGAGGAGACGTGTACCTATGGCATGATGGAGGGACATGGCTGGACAACAGAAGCTAGACAGAAACTTCCAGTTACACGAGGCTTTGGATTAATCCCTAACCTGAAATAAATGGGTGAAAATGTCACGATGAAATAAATAAAGCCGCACAGAAGAAAAACAGTCGCTATGGACAGACATAATGCAACAAAACCAATGACCACCACAGTCTACAAACAAGTACTGAAATGCATTACTCACTCTGAGGGATGCCAAGCAGGATGTTAATTCTCTGCCCAGAAATCACCCTGCTGTCATACCCCAGCACAGAACCGCTGCCTTGCTTGGGTGCTGGTGTGTCTCCAGACCTGTAAAGGCAGCTTGTTTTCACTTCTGGTTTGTTTCCTGTTTCTGCACTCCTTTGACTTAATGTTCCTTTGTTTGGGCTTTGGAGTGAGTATAGTGCAAGAAGTATAATGAAGTGTTATCTTCTTACATGCAACGCAAACGCCTGGAAAGTTCTACAAACTTAACCAAACCACAGGTCCCAATCTCTGCCTCCGGAAGGCGCTATTTCTTCAGGATTAGGAGAGCTGTATCTCAGCGACTTCAGTTGTGCAGGTTCTTTTCTAAGCTTCCACGCACAGCTTTGCAGCAGTGTCCTCTGACTGGTGACAACACACAGGGTGGGAAAGAGCACACAGGGAGAACATGCAGTTACATGGCGGAACAACAGTAAGCATGTAATGGTGGCACTGCTTAGTGATACACTCATCCATAACAAATATGCTGTGTGCACGTTTCTGTACATGGTGGCTGCTTGCATGAATGCTAAAGTGGGTGCTTGTCCTCCAGATCCAGGCAGATAGAAATGAAGAAGAAAAAGAGAAAGGATGATTATTTTCTCACTAAAGAACAGGCACACCTGTGATGGGCACTGTAAAAATAAAGCTGATTATGCTGGCATACTTACATCATGCTCTTAACATCTTGCTCTGTTATACCACTAAAGCATCACTTTTAGCATACAGTCCCAGGCATGTACAACAATCCCAGGAAGCTTAAATTCTTTATGCAGCTGTCAATTATTCAGAGAGGGCTGAAAACCACTATGGTAAAAAAGAGGACTTCTTCAGAAATGAGGTCTGTAGTGCATAGGTACTGAGCTTTGTGACTACAGCTCAAGGAGGCAGCTATTAGAAGTGCTGCATTATATGCTGTAACCACCACCCTGAGAATACAGAAAGGAGAATCCTTTTGCAGATGTTCTCCAGTGCCTCGGCCAGAAACCCACTCAGTGCCTTACATTCACCAACAACCTTGAACTGTGCAACATGATGAATCCTCCCGCTGAGGATTATGCAACCTGAATTAAAGGCCACCCTACTTTGAAACGAGAACATATACGCAGGGATTTAACACACTTTAATTCACTGACACAGGTTTTACCAACTTTCTTGAGAGTCTCCATATGGAAAAATCTGTATAAGATTGAAACAAGAGAAAATTACAGATGGATAAATGTCAGCGATCTGAAGTGAAAACGATGAAATCCCAGTAACACATATTGCTAAGATGCTAAAAAGTATCTACAACCTGCAAGAAGGGATTTGCAGTGATGCCAAAGAGGAATTCACCCTCACAGACACATGCTACATAATCAAAAAGGCAGAATAACCAGTGCTGTTGTCACAGAGCCTCAGGCTGATAGGCCAAACCTGTCATAGTGTCACTGAATGCAATGGCTCCAAATTCCATTGCAGCTGCACAGCCATGTTCCACGCTCAGCTTTTGAAGACAACCCTGTTATAGTGCTTGTAACAGTAAGCATCACTGCTGTAGCCCTACTTTGAACTATATGTCTATTACAATATGTGGCATTTGTTCATATTCAGCCTACACAAAAGCACACCAAATTTTCCTATAAATACAGTGAGAAATGAAATGGAACCTCACTGATATGTTATTTTTACTTAGCAAAACTCTATGGCCCAATTTAATTGAGTTGCTGAGCAACTTTCCTGTTCCTGACACTTAGACAGGATCCTCATCTTTGTTTTTAGACTCCATCCTAACGTCTAATATGAATGAAACTTGCAATTGCCTGATGAGAATAACAGATTGGCCCCGAGGTGTATTGAAAGACAGTGCAATAAAGAAAGCTGTCAACAGAAAGCTCCCCAAAAGCAAAGTGGTGCCACCTGAGCAGGGAGGTCTGTATGGTCAGACCTAACGCCGAGTCCCTGATGCAGTATGGAACAGGGCCAGGAGCTGATTGCTTATGTGAGAGCCCAATATTCAAGACAAGCTAAAGGAAAGAAAATCCTGCACAAATACTACCCAATCTGTAAGCTTTAAATTAGCTTGATTTTAATGCTAAAATCTATAAGTAGGTTTACAGCCAACATTATTAGTTTGAGCAAGTTCACTCTATAAATTACTGATACTTCTAACAGCACTGTGCCAGCTGGGATAACCTCAGTAGAAAACACAGACTTATAGGGACAAATGTGGGGAACAGACTGCGCTGTAAGCATCCCATGTGACTGTAAAGGTAGTCTGAAGTTATGAGACTCATTTTTTATCAGCTGTGCACGATGATGGAGTCAAAGTCTGCATTAACCACAGTTTGAGCAGCTGAGTCACATCCAAGGGGGGAAAAAACATAGAGAGTAATTTTCAAATTGCTGCTATAGATGTATCCAATTTATAAAGTGAACTTTTTTTTCCCCTCAAGAATGTAAGCATATTTTTTCTGAATTATGTCCTCTTTCTAAAGCAATTCAGCAATCCAGCGTACTGCATTCATTAAATGGTTTCAGGATGCAAATTCAAGTCTTTTCATTGCCAGTATGGATAAACATGCCCTTACTGAAAAGGGGGGAATCCAAAATTTCTAGGCAGTTAAATGAAAACAACATAGAAATGCATTATCATCCAATACACAGGCATCGTTACTGGGCCAGCAATTCAATGCAAAATACCAAGAGAGAGCTGTGCAAATCTTTTGCTTAGTTCCCTGGCACGAACAGAAAGAATATTTACACAATTAACTTTGAACACTTACAGAGCAGAACCCCAAAAGGTATATTTCATATGAAGAACAGAAGCAACACAGGTTCATGAAGTAGCACATTATCTGTAGTAAGATTAGTTCAAGCTTTATATATGTAATTCTTGTCTTCTAGTAATAAAAATAAGAGCATTTGAAATACCTGAGAGCTGTCTTACCTAATTCTAGTAAAGGTGACTGCTGTTCTGTCATGTGCCATCCTTATTTGCCAAATAAAGATATTTTACTGGTGAGCACATGCTTCTCTAAAAAAAGGAAAAGCTTGCAGATACAGGTGTAGGAGAGCAATGTGATAGCATGGGGGAACTAGCTAGAATTCCACAGGATCAAATATTTACAGGTAAAAATGCCTGGGCTTGTTGCAAGTAAGTCCCCCTTACTTCTTTCTTTATCCAAAGGAAGCAAAAACCCAGAAAATCTGGCACTGGTTCCCCACAACGTCATCTGAGTCCACAGTAACATTTTTCAATCATGCAGCTACCAGATTTTGTGAACAACTCTTTCCACCAGATCTCTTTCACTTTCATTCCCTCGTAAGGATGCGATCTGTGGCACTATGGTAGGGCAACGTGAATAGTGAGAGATCTGCCCAGTCATTACTGCAAAACCATTCTTACAGCCTTCTTAGCATCAGAATCTTTAACAGTGTGCTACAACATTGCTGTTTTATGGGATGAGTGCACCTTTACGTGCCACATAGCCTACAAAAGGAACAGAGTGGTGTTTAGCTTCTAGAAAACAAACTGTTTTAGGGCACTGGCACATTTCAGTTCACAGAATTGCTTTAAGCCTTTTGAAAAGAAAAATAAGGCAGCACTACAAAGGGAATTTGTATAACAGTCTGCCTCCAGGCTTGCGGACTGCTCTGCTCATTGATTTGCAACCAGTGATTTGGAAATTCTGGTTTACCCAATGTTTACTGAGAGAAATTGCGATTACATTTTAGGCAAGCTTTTCTATCTACTCCTTTTTAATGTGTTAATTTACTCCACTGAAAAGCCAAAGGGCCAAATTCCCCCCTGTGATAAGGCTTTTATTGTGGGAGCATCACTGGATGTGCACCAAAGGCATTATTCATCTGTGGAGAGATCACTGAGAAATATTGTCAAAATAAACACTTTTGAGTTGCACGTCCCTGAAGAAAAGATAAAGGGATTGTGAACAGAATGAGAAGGAACAGAACATCAGAGATGAAGAAAATTAGATAAAGGGCCAGGAAGAAACTGTTTGATGTACACAGAGTGACAAGTTAGATTAAGAACTTCATTAAAGCGTGCAGTATTTGCCTATAAGCAATTCAGGCAAGGAATTTGTTTACAACTCTCTGCCAAAATCAACAGCAGATGCAAAAAATATCAATAGCAAGAGTTTAAATAATATTAAATTTACTGTATCCAAACACTCACTAGGACTGTGTGAAGGAAATACACAGCTCGGTACCATTCTATTCTTTGTCACACTGAGTAAACAAGATTATGTTCTATTGCACACAAATGTGCAGCCCCTCCAGAAGCCACAGCCAATATGAGTATGCCACTCCTGTGTTACTTTCAGATGCACATATGTCTGAAAATACATCCTGATTCCAAGATTTATTGCTGCTGTGGAGGACAATCTAACTGTGGGGACTGTGCAGTCTCAGGCACGACTCAGACAGAACCTGCTGCAACTTTACTAAGTTAGCAAAACAAAATCTGCAGATGTGCTGGAAAACTTGTAATATCAGCTGGCATCGCTAACCCAGCTTCATCAGAAAGTGCCCACCAGAAATTAAACAGCTGCTAGTCCAAATTATGAGCAACTGCTTCTGGAGCGAAGGGCGAAGGTCAAGTGAAGGAAAGGAGCACTGCACTCAACAACCATGAGGAGTCAGGGGTTTGGCAAAGGGCACTCGGCACAAATCTTGCTGTTAGTCCCAGGTTAACACCTCCCTGCGGTGACCTAAATTTACTGTGGGGCACTTCTTTCTCAGCAGCATGTTGGCTGATGTCCCTGTGTGACTGATTCTGTTACGATGATGGGAGTTTGAGGCACCACCTTCCTCCTGGCATGCTTACAGGTTAAAAAAATTCCTGGCCTGGAAAGAATACACGGTGAGAGTGAGTTTATACAATGTGCTGGCAGCAATGCTATCCCAAGATGCTGAACTCTGCCCTTCCCCTGCCCCTTATTCTCACTCTCGTGCACAAGCTTCCTTGCCATTCCCTGTGGATCAGGGTGTAAGCGAGACCACTGTTAAGATCTGGATTAAAAATAACCACTCCTTAACCAACTCTGCTCTCAAAGCCAACACATTGTATATTTGCACCACAAGACGCTTAGTTTCTTTAACAGAGTTTTATGTACAGAGTGGCAGAAAACTATGTCAGGTGTCACTTTCCCAGGCTACAAAGGCAACACAGGAGTGGTGATCCACAGAATTTAAGCCACACGTTCAACCATCCACATGCTGCAGAGTTTTTGAAATCCAAATCAGGCCTACAAACCAGCACCGAGAATTCCTGTCTCTTTTTGCAGTAGTTCAAGCAAAAATACTGCTTTTGTCTGGAGTTCATTTTTGAGGACTGATGGAAGGTAACCAAAGGCATAAGGGTCCCTCTGTTAAAAGCCAAAGTGAGATCATGGATGAGAATGTGAAGCAGTGGGAAACCACAGAATATACAGAAAAAGAAAGCATCCATGTCCAAAGTGCTCACTATCAGACATCAGCTCATGACTCATCATTTTGAACGTTCTTTGAGGGAACGGACTGCTCTTCTGTCTCAAACAAAAGGTGCCTTTCCACTTCATACCACTGCCTGGAAAAGCTTCCTGTAAAGAGATCTGAAAAAATGACAGAGCCTCCTGCTATTGAAAGATGACATTTGACAGGCTGAGTCCATCAACAACACACTGCTCAAAGCCAGCAGAGTTTTCTCATAGAAAAAAAAATTAGAAAAAAATGACAGCATTACTTATTTCCATCCCTTATCTTTCTGAAATTTTCTTGCCCGTATACTGGGAAAGAGACCTGAAGGCAAAACGTGAAGAAGACAGCATATTTCTTTTATTAGTTGAAATTATACAGTCCAGATGGCACAACCACTCCTTATGGCCTGCCTCTATCGTATAAAAGGAGCTGACAGCTACGAGACAAGCAGATTTGATCTCATTTTCTCCTTATGTAATCTTTGGTTGTGCAACACAAGTCCGTAAAGAGTAAAAAGGTGGATCTGAGTACACACAGTATAAAATACAACTACTTTTGCTCTTTACTCACATTTCAGTACCTTTCTGGTGAACGACACATAGATCCTGTTACTCCACGACTCATTGGCAATTACATTATATGGAACAATGGCAAAAAGATTCTTTTTTTTTTTTTAAAGGTGCTTTATGCTGTGCTTTCAGTTGCAGCTCTTGGCTTCTAAGACATTTAGGAAAGAAGAGAAGCTCGTTCTTCGCTTGTGTTTTGAAATGGTATTTGTTTATATATCCCATTCAAATCAGAAAAAACGAGACAAAAACCTCACACTATTTTAAGCTACTGGGTGTCCTTCCAACAGCTGATTTGTATGCAGCATACGCTACATTTTGCCTAGAAGGATTTAGCTCAGTAGCTGGCACGTTTGCATCACAGAACAACATACACAGTTTCACCTGGTTTCAGGCATTCTTACAATGGGAAATAAATATGAAAAGTGGTTGTTGCAGAAAGTTCAAAAAAATGCAGTCAACAAATAGTGAAATCGCAAAAGGCCAGACAGATTTAATAAAATATTTCCATTTACCTTCCTCAGCTTTACACAGCCTGCTTCAAATAAAAAGATTCTCTGCAGAGAGCCTTTACCCAACTGTTTGTATCACTTCATACAAAATACGTTTGAATCACCACAGCAATACAAGGCTATAAATTCCCAACACGCAACATGCCAAATTCAACGTACGTTATGATTTCTTGGCATCTAGAGCTTTCCCTTTTCTGTACTCCCCCATACATTTTCATTTGAAACAAATTAAAAAGCATATAGATGTTAAAACATAAAGACAGCTTAGAATTTAAGTGACTTGTGCAACATTATTTTGTGCTTTCTACTTCTCCTTTTCCTCCTACTGTGATTAAAATTCATCATGCCCTTCTCTACAGGTACAATAGTGATGGATCAAGTTCAGTCCAGATAGGTTTTCAACCCTCAGACTTGGCCGTAAGCTACATGAGATCCTTACAAATTCAAAAAAGTGCATTATATTTTTTTTTGTGATCTTTCTTTCACGTTGGATGAAGTGAAGTTCTGATTATTCGATGTAAGAATGCAACCTTGAGGAACGATTGCAGCCTTGGAATAATTCTTAAAATGTAAAAAGAAATTTGTTGAGAGCACACTTTCTGGATTTAAAAAAGACACACCGTTATAATGGTGCTACTAGAGCCACGGTACAGTATATCATGGCACATCTCCAGAACGTAATCAAGGACATGAGATAGAACTTCTATTTACACAAACTCGATGCCACTTCCAGAAAAAAATATGACAGAAAAAGGAAAAAAAAAAAAAAAGAAAAGCATTATTTCCTGAATGTCCTGAATTTTTAAAAGGTTCCTTTTACATTTCTCTCCAGCAATCCAGTGGTCCTCCACAACTGCATTCTCCCTGACCTTAGCACGGACCATAAGTGACACCGGCAGGAATTGGGAATCATATGGCAAACCGATTCCTCTGAGAGGATGCTCTCCCATGCCCCTTTACTCACAAGCCAGCTTGCTGTCAAAACTTGAAAGGGCAATAGCAAAGGCTTGTAGAGCACACATTGGGTAGTTGTAGTCCATGGTGAACACGTCCTCAGCCACGCGGCCAAACTGCATCACTATGTAGTCAGCTGCAAAAAGGCCACAAGAAGCGACAAAACATTAGTTTTGCTTGCAGCTCTCACTAAATAAGCATACATGCAAACGTCATCCTCTGGCCCAGCTGAACAAAACACAAACTTGCTCCCATATCAAACTTCACAACGCTTAACTCATGAGAGTGGATGTGGTGATACCACAGGGAGAAGCAAGGATAGGCTGGGTGAGGAATATCTAAGTGATTAAGGATTGTGAGTCCTGTTAGAAAATTACAGATTTGTATTTCTGCAAATACAGAAGGAAAACTGTTTCTCCATAAAACATTCAAGTGCATTACGTGAGCTGAGTTTCACATGTATCAAGAATGAATTAATTCTACTCCTACTTAATTACAGGCAAGAGGACAAGAAAGGATAAGGGGGGAAGAAAATATATGATTGTGATCTCGATGTTGTCATGTCTCTGTTCTATCATACTCAAACAATCCTCAATATTTTTTCTTTTTTGTACTCTTTGTCCTCTGTCTCAAGAATGAGGCAGAGGAGCAGTGAGTTGGACCCAAGCAACTAAAATAAACCCGCTCAGATAACAGTAAGGGCAGAATCACTCTCAGGTTAGGTATGCAGTACTGTTTCTACACATTACAGATAAGGAATGATACTTACGATCATTATCATGAATAATTTGGAAGTTTTTCACTGAGGCCTGTGTGACTCGACCATGGAAATTTAAAACATAGGACTGGGTGTCGTCGTTCCAGACGGGAGTTTTGTTATGCAGCTCAATGACACTCTCTGTGTTTTTGTTCTGCCATCTTGCAAGCAGTGTCTCATGTTCCTGCACACACCACAGATGAACGCTTCAGTTTAGCAGTCTCACAAGATGAAAAAATATATTCACGCAAAAAAACCCACACAAATTCATTAATCAATCCCAAAGATTTAACCGTCATTCTCAATTCTCAGCACAGCACCATAGAATGAAATACAGAGATTTCTGAGTATCTTAATGAGACTGTGCACTCAAGTTCTTTCCATACCTTGGAAAAGGTTAGCTGTATCTTTTGTTATCGAAGTACACTGTTATTTGTAGTGCTGTTATGAGTCACAGACTAGTCACATATTACATTGTTATTCATCTGTTTAAAATACTTGTTTAGTCTCTAAATCTCCAGAAATGAAGAAAAGAATAACAACTGAAAAAAAACCAAACTCTAACTGCAGGAGAATTCAAGTGGTTTGTTATGACTGACCAATGGTATGACTTACATTTCGTGGTCTGATGGAAACTCTTTCATGGTCCATATTCATTCCTGGTATGATCACACTCATCTTACGAGGTCCTTTAAAGCCCAAGACATTTGTTTCCTAAAAACATTTAGAAAAGAGTTCATCATATTCTGTATTTTTAAAGTCCACTTTTTCAACAGAGGAACAGTAGAGCAGCAGCCCATGGGCCTTAAGTCAATCCATTAAAAAATATCCTGAGCTCCCACATTTACTTGCATGCCAAACATTCCAGCTTCGTTTGAGAAGCTCTGACAACAGGAAAAATAGAAGCAGACATTCCAAAGACATTCTCAGCACTGGGCACCAGCAACCTTAATACAATTTTAAAAAATATCCCTTTGATAAATATAAGGATATGGACTAACCAGATTGTTTGGATACTGCTAAAACTGAAAACAAAGTAGTTGTAATTTAGAAAACAGAAAATGCAGTCACACATTATGATGGGACACCAAATTAAATACATTTATTCCAGAGTCAGCACAAGAACGAACAAGAAGAAGCTGCCAGTAAGAGCGTCTGTTGCCACTGCTGTGGCTTTCAAAGTCTTTGGATATGTTATGCTTAGAGATGAGCATGGTAAAAAAAAACAAAACAACGCAACACATTAGCATGAATGCACATTTTTGAGCTATGAAAGCAGAGAAATAAAAGAAATAACATGGGGACCAACATGAAATACAAGTTCCTCCATTAAGTAAGTGTGATTTGATGCATTTCTGACCAGCTTTTTACAAAAGCATCCAGTACTGTGCTATCCTCTCACAACACAACCACATGAAATACTGATACCTCTGGAAGATCCAGTCCATGCCTTAGTTTGTGGTATTTTTGGGGGGGGGAGGGAGATGTCAGGGGTGTGATATGTAAACTTTCCCTTTCACCTTTCCCATGTGCAGGGGTCTGTGCAATATTTACTAGCTATGGAACACATTTTTCCATCCATCAGACCTTTGAAATCCCTGTGGTTATCTCAGCAAACCAACTGGAGATTCTACACAACTCCCTGAAGTTTTTAATGCAAACAAAGAAAATTCCGCAGAGACATTTTAATGAATGCTCTTGAAGCAATCCAGGTATATTTATATATCTCTATGACTATATACATTTATTGGAAAAATTGAACCTCTTTTCTGTATCACATCACGGCCCTTGGCAAAGTAAACCAATGTTTAGTTTAGCTGGAGGCATCTGCTTGGTTTCGTATAGTGACAAAACTCAAACTAAAAAGGCTGTCAGCAGATCTTATATACAGGATGAGAGATTCAGCAGAGCAGAATACATCTTCTAAGATGCATGCTTATGCTTACTTTCCACTAGATACTGACAATATTGGTCTTCTCAGCAATGCTTTACAAGCTTACTGCTCAATAAGCTGCAGTTACGCTATAGACAATTCTCTTAGATGCTGACTGGTTGAAAACATTGTTCAAGGTAAAATTAAATAATAGTGCTGAATCACTTTCCTCCCAAAGAGAAGCATTATCACTCTGAAACAATATGACCACACTCTTTGGATTTTCACTTACATAAATGCTAAAAATCAGCATTTCTGCTAAATGTTAAGGGAATTATTTCTATTCTCACGCTGTATCAATCAACAATTACATCAAAGATTTCTTGGCAAACATGACCCTTTTGCTAAGCTCGAGGTACAGGATTAAAATTCCAAAGGTGTATAACATATGAAGAAAATAATAGGGACAAAAGAAGAGCTTCAAGAAAGAGCAGACTTTTCCAATATACCTTGCATCCAAACACAATTAGTCCTCTTGTCCTTTTTTTTACCTTACCTGCTTCTCTACTATTTCCCTGCTCCACTACATTGTGTATATATTCAAGACTACAAATAGCATTCATAGGGGAACACAGGAACTCACAATTCAGTCACCCCCAAATACGCCTTCAGCAACTTCACTCTCTGGACTTGATTTACACAGATGTGCCTTGTCCTTCCTATATTCTGCAAATTCATTCCAGAGAAAGCCCAGAACCACAAAACCCACTACATCTGAGCACAAAGAAAGTGATCGCAGTTTGAGCAGAAACTCTTCCCTCCACTCTTTCTATATGTAGTTTCATTACTGCTTTATTTAAAGTAGAGCCATACCTTGCAGTATCAGCTGAGCTCAGCTGAGTTCCCTACCTGCAGAATCTGAATTGTGAGATGCTAAAGGTATAAAGGAATCTGCAGCAGAATGTACTGCTACATACAGTACAGTTATGCCTCCCTGCTTGATAATTTTGCAAGCAATTCTGCAATCAGCCATTAGGTGCTGCTCTAGGTTTATTAATATGCCAGCCTGCCATCTTCAAGAAGAGTAAATATGGCTAAGAGCACTTGATAAAACTCCGTTATTGCACGAACTTTATTAAGTATTACTTGAAACTTCCTAAAGTGAGCTCCGCAATCATAGAAGCTCCCCAGTTGGAAGGGACCCACAAGGATCATGAAGTTCAGCTCCCGGCTCCACCCAAAATTCAAACTCTGTGTCTGAGAGCGCAGTCCTTGAACTCCTTGAACTCTGACACTTGAGGCTATGACCATTACTGTGGGCTGTCTGTTTTGGGGCCCGTCCACCCTCTGGTGCAGAACCTGTCCCTAACTCCCAGCTGCCCTTCCCCTGACACAGCTCCATGCCATTCCCTTGGGCCCTATTGCTCTCACCAGAGAGCAGAGCTCGTTCCCCCCCATGAGGAGCTGCAGCCACAATGAGGCCTCCTCTCAGCCTCCTCTGCTCTGGGCTCAGCAAACTAAGGGACCTCAGCTGCTCCCTCAGACATCCCACCCTCTAGAGCCTTCACCATCTTTGTTGCTCTCTTTTGGACACTCTCTAATAATTCTACGTCCTTTTTATATTACCACAAACTGCACAGACCTGGAGTGGTCCCAGCCAACCAGCAGACATTTTCCCCATTTTCACATAGGGCAAGAAAGAAGACCCTGCAGTTGGTTCCAGAGCCCATCATCAGTGTTGAAGGTGAAGAAGGCATTAAACATCTTTGTTTGTCTTCATCTCTATTTGTGTGGTGACCGTCCTCATAAAGTAACCAAGCAATGTTATTTCTATTGTTACCATATTTAGAAAAGCCCTTTTTGTTGCCATCCACAGTACTGGTGTGTTTCAACTCTAATTGTGCTTTGGCCACACAAATTTTCTATCTACAATGGTGAATAGCATCTCTCTAAGTCTTCCCACATCACCAAAACTCACTTAAATTGGCCATACAGAATTGTAGGGGCTGGAAGGGACCTGTAGAACACATTATTTTTCCACCTAAGCTCTAAAAGAAGATCAATGAGAGCTCTCAACACTTTTATCCCACAATTAACAACAGATGCATCAACACTTTCTGACTGTATAAACTAGAGTGCTGAATCATCAGCAGGTCAGGTGCAGTAGGTTGGTGGAAGCAGGTACAGCTTGCTCTCCTGATGGGTACTTGACTGGATGAGCTGAAAGATAGCAAACTGCATAGTGGTGCTTTCAACCTGTTGTTTATTACAGCTTTTGCTGCAGGAAAAATCTCAAGGCAGGATTTAAAAGAATACTTTAGGACAAGAGTGCTTCAGGAGTGCTCTTTATAGCATTTTTTACTCTGGTTCTGCTGCAGCCAGCAACAATAATCTTATCTTAGCAAACCTGTCTATTAATGAAACATCATTCAGATTTCCTTTTGTCCTCTAGCCATAGCACACCTGCAAGCCTTCTGCCTTTCTCCATGACATCAAGTGGAATGAGTCATCTTCTTATACAAATGTACAAGTTTTATACTGCTGATCTGAAAACAGGCATATAAAAACAGCTTCAGTGTTAGCCACATTCTCTCAGTAGAAGCCATGCTTCTGTTCTTTCCAACATCTGCTCTGCACTTCCAAATATTTCTACTGGCTGCAGCAGAGTTGTCTATTCGGTAATGTTAATGGTTCAAATATCAGTGTTATTCACTCTTACAGGAAGTGCCTTAACTTTTCAATGCATAACCTTTTTTGAACTGTTATTGTGTTCTCTTTGTACTTCCAGTTTGCACCAAACAACTAGTTACCTGGATCCAGTGAATGCTCTCCTATGTAAACCAGTAAAATTACCTTTATTAAAAATGCAAGTTATTCTAGGTTCTTACTGAGACTTTAGTTGATGATATAAACTCACATCAAATCCTGGACTCTGATGTTAAATCCTGCTAACTGGATTGCTCTTTGCTTTCCTTTTCCTTTCCTGCTTAAAGCTTTCAGGCTCCCCACACTGCTTCCCACATCCTAAAGCTAAATCTTTGCAGAAACACATTCTGTGCATATACAGGGATACGCTGCGATGGCTAGATTTCAAACTGAAAGAGCTCCAGGCATTCCTGATTAGATCTGGACAGCAGCTTTTCAGAAAAAAAGTGTTCTTGGGTATTTTTGTCAGTTATTGAACTGGGAAAACAGAAAACCTTCTGTAGAACTGCACTTACCAATTATGACTGAAAGAATTCTTTGGGCCCAGAGATTTCTGCCCTAACAAACACTATTTAGTCTCCTCTAAAAGGCTGGTTTCTTGTTCAGTTGCATTTTAGATTCCATTTTGTCTTCCTATTAAAAAGGAGTTTAATAGCTTTTATTAGCCACTTATCCATCTACCTGTGTTTTGCATCACAGGGGCCTCCTCTGAAATATCATTAGAAATGATCAGGCCCCAGTGCAGTAATTCCACGTGTGCAGCTCCTCCCCCTTCTGGAGGCTCTCTCAGACGATGTCTGCAAGCTGTGAAGCATCCTACCCGTTCAAGAAGGTTATGTAAAACCTCTAACAGCTTTTGACCAAAAGTGAGAACTGGGCAACCTGGTTCTGTGCACAATGTTTTTTTAACTCTTACTTTCCACCGAATTTCCTGGTTCCTCTATTGAAGATCAGATGTTTCACTACGTGAAAGCGCAAATGTTGATTTATGTAACCTTAAGTGAGAAGGAAATTCAGTGTGCTGTTTCAGAAACTGAACTGCCCTTTCTTGCATATTTTGCCTGTGAGCAGTACTTACATAACAAATAGCAGCTAGCTCCTGACGCAGGACACTCGCCTCCAGGCTTGATGTTGTTTTCATTGGATTTACTCCATTGTCATAAACTGTAAACTTAGTTCCCATAAGATTTGATCTATCAAAAAAATGGAAAATCCAATCACCATTTGTCAATAACACTGCCTCAGATAACTATCCTTCACTGCACTATAGTTCCATAGGAAGGACAAAGAATATCAAGTACAAATAGTTAACTCTAATCCCAACTGAATGGTAACTTCTAGATTAAAGGCCATAAAAAAAACTAAAGGTAGAGCAGTATAAAATGGGTAGGCACAGTAAATGTCCCAAACTGAAGACTTCTCGTGGCATCTCATAAACTAGCAAATTCAAGAAGGTAATTAAGAAACATCTGAGTGAAGTTGGGGTTATCTTGTCTGATTGTTTTCTTTTACTTTACAAAATGCTTACCATCTAAAATATCATTGGCTTTCTCACCTGACTGCTACTCTGTTGGACTACAGACAGTGATTCTCATAAGGTTATAAATAAGATTGGTTTTTACTACTTAAACGAAAATCCTATCAAGGACTGCAAAATACAACTTAGAGCACACTAACACTGCATTATCCTCATTCTGTGTTTGCACTGCAGTAGCACATGAAGTTCTGAGATCCATACAGGCAAACAGCAACTAGTAGTATAGTTCCTTTCCTCAGGCACAGACAATCTAAAGACATATTGAGAGGCACCACATATGTCCCAACAACAGATGGATGTACGATGAGATGACAGACAGAAAAGAAGCAAGTGGTTCTGAGTAGAGTCCACTACATGCAAATATCTCTAATTAGGATCTCAAGAAATGGGCAGAACCCAAGAGATTTTCAGATTATCTAAGAGACAGAACTTCCAAAATGTTTATATCAGTAGTGGGTAGACACAATCTGCTCATGCACTTCTCAAAATCTCATTAAGATAAGCTGTCTGCATCTTCAGATGCCCATAACCCTTGAGAATCTGGCCTTTGAGTGTTTAAGAGCCTCAGTCTGCTGACTTTTAATCAATTATTTATAGATATTTACTTGAGACATTTTGAAACCATGTCTTGGATACTGCTTAACTGCAGTACCATTACCACCTGATTTATCCAAGCCTCCAAAGAAGTCACATTGATTAAAGGCTTCCTGGTTTTATATGAACTATATTTACAAAAAAATAATCTGATATGCTTCAATCTTTACCTCAGTTTTCCAATAAAACTCTCTCCACCTCGAGACAGGTCAGTTGGGTCTATGGAGATGAGGTAATTAGAGGTTTTACTCTTCTTTCGTTTCCTTCCAGCTAATAGAAATACCTAAGCAGTGCAAAAAAACCATTATTTAGAATGCCAAAGGGGTTAGAGCACACCACATTCTTCTTTGATATAAGGAAACCATGGGCAATTTTTCTGTCTTCTAGCATCATAAGCAAAGTAAAAGAAGGTTTCCTGGGACTTAGCAAAACCAGATAAAAATCAGGACAGGAAAGTGACTTCTCAACCACTCAGTCCATTATTTATGGTTTAAATAATTAAATCCAATCTATTTTGTTAAATGTTTAATTCTAGGTTGCATTGTCTCTTCTGCTGGAATTGAAAATAGATGTTTTTCAGGCCACGGAATGCAGAAAGCCCCAGTTGCTCTTACAAAAAGGTGCCATGCATGGATTACTTAAAGCCAATGATTAGACATATGGAGAAAGGCAACAGAACAAAGTGATATTGTTGTTCTGCTTTTGGAGGACTAGGGCAGGTCTCAGTGATAAGGCATATAAAATACAAGATTACATTTTCCTTGTAAGAACTCTTCAGATTTTTTATTATTTTTTTTAATATTCAGATGCAACTGTTATGCTATTCAAGTTATTTTATGACCTTTTTACCATGCTCCCTTTCCAAGTGGAGGTAATAGGTAGGGTACATCCCACGATCCATTCCTTTCTTGTCTCTTGTGATTCTGCATTTGACGGTGGCACCCTGTGGAGCAGGTCTTACAGCAAATTCCTCCAGGTCATCAACATCTATGAGAGGCTCATTTGTGGAAGGACTAGGGGCTGAGGCCACTTCCTAAAACAGCAAGCAAAACTCAGGTTTTCTCGAGATACCAAGTTATAAATATGAAGGAATGACATTTGCTAACAGTTGTGCTTAAAAAAAACAACACACAAAACAAAAGAGACACACAGTTTCCTCCATTCTAGTTCCACAGAGGCCTTCAAGGCAACTTATCAAACTAAGGACATCTCCCTATTCAGCTGGTTGAACTCTCGCCTAACAAAGGCTCACAAAGCAGTTCTCTGTCCTGCTGATGCTGAGCATACAGACACATCTGGCAAAGAAGAACCAGCAGCTGCACAGAGTGCTGTAATGTTACAAAATCAAACTCTGGCTCACGCTTTCCCATCTCAAAACTTTTCTCTTTTGAGAAGGTTCATACCCGTGGACAACAGTGTTTTTTGATGAAAAGAAGATATTGGATGGCTGAGAGACAGTTTAAGGTACAGAAAACTCTAAAAGTGAGAAGTCAGTTGAAGTACACAAGGGAGTGAGTCATCATCAACTGGTTTAACAAGAGCTGGTGATTTGGGATATTCAAACCTCTGAAGCTTTGTTTTATCTTCAGACAGCAGCAACAAGAGCAGAGTGAAAAAATGCTTTGAAAAAAAGAGAAAAAAAGATCCTTCTGAGATCATGCAAGAAGCAGAAAGGTAAATATTTACAATTTACCTTTCTCTTCATTCAAGTTTGTTGTTTTTTAATCCAAGTCATTATTTTCATTACTTCTGTGAACTGAGAGCTTTCACAGTAAATTAGCTCAGAGATGCTGTAGTATATATTGAAAACAAAACAGAAAACCAGGCTTATCCTGACTGTGCTTTGAACTGATGCAGTACACAGTGACCCACATGCTCTTTCTTTAGCACTGACCCCTTACTTACCTTACTGGATTTCTTGCTTGTGGCAGAACCAGGCCTGGTGTTACTGTTTAGCTGGGAAGAGCTAGAGCTGTCTGCATCTTCCTCATCCTCTTCCTCATCAAAATTCATGCTGCTTGAAATGCCTGAGGAGAAAGCAGTGCACTATGATATACTAATACTTGATATAAAAATATCATTTCTGATGGTGTTGCACCCTTAGGCTTACAGGTGAGAGAAGGAATGTGTGTGTGAGGGGCTTCATTATGTGAGGCACCATACAAATGAGTGATGAGACAGCACCTTCATGGAGAAACCAAAACATGAGGTAGGAAATAGCACAGTCTCCATTCCACAGAGAAGACTGTTAAGCAGTGATAGAAGAAAAATACAGAGTGAGAAATTAAATATAACCCCATCAAGTACTTCAAACACAGCATGACTGAGTAGACAACATATCACGGCCATTTGGAAACCTTAACAATTAAAATATGAACACTTCTACAGCACACTTTTAACAGTTCCTATGAGATCCAATAAAAACTGAGAAGAAACCATTCGCATTAAGGAAATGTTCCTATGTATATTTATTTCATGTAAAAAACAGCACCAGCCTAGGCCAAAGGTATTGCCTTAGAGTGCTTATAAATCTGACTTTAAAGAATTCAAAGCCTCAGACATTTCAAAAGGGAACAAAACTTTGAACATCAAACAGGGCTGGGCAGCAAAAAGTACCCAACGATGGGACATTTGCCAGGTCTAGTTTTTCAGATGAAGCCACCTTGTACTCAAGTTTCACATATCAGAGGCAGACAATGCAGTATTTCTCACCCGCTCTCTTCCCCCCAGCCCCCAAAAATCATGAAACAAAATAAACCAAGAACCATCTGGTCCAGAATATCTGCTATTGTTAAGCCTGAAACAGAAGGATAAATTAAACTCAATGATTTCCAGGGCTAAACAGTGTGGGCATAATTAACTTTTTTCTTTCTGTACTTACCAGGAGCATGATCCAAGGCAACAAGACTGGACTGGGAGGTGGAAGAGGACCAGGATGTATTTGCATGGGGATCTGGGAAAAGAAAACATCTATGGGAATGATTCTGCAAACTCAAGTAACTCATCAACAGCATTCTTCACAGGACTAAAGGCTTAGCACATGGGGCTAAAACACTGCTGCCACAACTTTCAATTAGGAACATCATGCCTTTCTGCACAACCAAATTCACTTTCCATTTACTGTCATTTTTGGGGGATTCAGAATAAGCCACATAGCTCTGATTCCTAGAGCTCAAGCTTCAGAAAGCATCATCCATGCTAAAAGGCTGTGCCACAAACACATTTGTGAACATGCCCTTCATGGTAAGTTTTTGGCCTAATTCTAACACACACACACCAAAAAAAAAACCCCCCAAAAAACAAAAAAAACACCCTTCCAAAACACAGATTCTATACAAATATGTATTCAGTAACACTGAAAAAGGAGTATTCAGATATTTGGATGGTCTAAATTCTACCTAAAACCCTGTGCCAAATGTGAGTGCATTATCTATCTTAGGCTATTTAAATGGTGCTTCTGAATTCCCACAGGTACACACGGAGATTTTCAGGCAACTTAGTCACTGGAGTATGAGCTTGGTCTGCAATAAGCAGAGACTGAACTACCATCAAAATATAAATACTGGAGTCTGTACCAATAATGGCTTGCTTCACTTCCAATTTTGGAAATGAATGAGGAAAATAGACACCAAAAAGCTCTTCAATATTTTTTATGTTATTGCTTTTTCCAGTAACTTCAACGCACGCCCTTTAAAATAGCTTTTGACACCAGATGCATACCTGACAATAAAACAACACCAAAGCAGTGAGAGCGAATAAAAATGAAACAGAAGCATACTGCAATTTTTATATTTCGCTCAGCTGTACCATGAGTGGTCTCACAATCTACTTCTTCAGTTGCTCCAGTGTGGACATACAGCCCCCAGTATGACAGCAGAAAGTTTTAGTAGGACCTGGTTATGCAGGGGAACCTGAATTCACGAGTCAACTGGTATTTTTAAAGCCTGCAGAACTCACTCATGCACATTAATCACAAACATTCGTTGTTAATGATGACAAGTTCTAGTCAAATATGCACGGTTAGGAGAAGGAATCCATCTCTTCAGCTGGCATCCGTGCAGAAAAGCCATACTTGCATATGTTACTATGCACAGCCATAGATAATTTGCTTCTACATTCATGTAGAATGTTGGTGGGGAAAACTCTTTGCCTGTTATGGAAAAGCCTGCAGTGAAGACCTATGGGAAAGAATGCTTCAAAGAGCTCCCGTGTTGTTCTTGAATCCAGAAATCAAATCTGTTCCTTCTCCAAATTTCAAAAGAACTGTTACTTTAGGTGGAAAGAACTAAGATTGGGGGGTTGGAGATTCATGATCCTTGAGGTCCCTTCCAACCCTGGCCATTCTGTGATTCTGTGATCTGTGTAAAGAACAAGTTGTTCACCCCAAGCCTTTACAGAGGCATACCAGAAATTGATAAACGTGAAGACTGAAATTTAATTATTGAGTGGTGAAGCCTAGAGAAGTCTGGCTCTGTCCTAGTGACTCATTTGCCAGCAAGGACCTATACATACTAAAACTTCTGAAATTAAAAGGACAAATATTTCCTGCAGGAAGTAAATGATTCTAGCTGTGGCAATTTCCAACAGATGGAGAAATCAAATAAAACATTTGGCATTTTCTTGCAAACAGCATATTCTCTTCACACTCAGCTACCCTATGCCCTCTTGTCTTGTAACTGAGCTTGACTTGCTGAGTGATCCTCAGCGAGGAGAGATGCATATGCTGAGAGAGGTTTCTCTCCACAAAGTTAAAGTCACAGAGCAGAATTAGCACAAATCAGGGTAAGCAAACCTAATGGGAGTTGATCTGCCCCTTCCCATAAGGCCAGCTAGCATTCACCTCGGTGGTCTTCTCCTCTTGCTCCAGGTACGTGCAAGAGGTGGACTAATGGGAAAAACCATTCTAAATGCTTTGCAAAACAAGGAGGACACATCAAAAAGAACATGCCACAAGCAGTGAAGCAGCAGTGGAAATCTGTATCAAAAGCCCTGGCTCTACATAAAGGTTTCCAGGACTTCTGGGATATTATCAAGCCTCTTTTACTGGTATCAAGTGCAAAACCACATAGGCAGAGTAAATATATTTTATGGAGCTACTACTAGTTGCAGTTCTGTCTTAATACTGTCTTAATACTTTTCTTTGTGTCCCACTGACAACAGTTCTGTTGTTAATAAAAATTATTCCCAGCACTCCCAAAAACAAAGCCCCTGCACAGACTTGAAGCATACCAGTCAAACAGCCTCAGCAGTGTCTGCTCTGATCAGTAGTATGCTCAGTGCTGGATTAAAGAAAAAAAAAAAGGTCATGCCATATATTGCTTCTACTGAGAAAACAAACAAAAGAATCGAGAGAATAACATCAAAAATAGGAATGTCCCCCAGAATAAAACTCTGAGTGCTCTGACCTAATTTGAGAAGTCTGCTGATAATTTTTAAGTCCACCAGCTTTAATAAGTAGTGTGTCCAACTATTACATATTCTGAGCCATAGTCTAAGTCAACACAATCATCACACAGACCAGAACTTGTGAGCCATGCCAACATTCCTTTGACTCAAATGCCCAGGAAGTGCCCCACTTGGATAAAATATGCCCGTTTCAGTTGAAGTTGCTCACATCTGCAGAGTAATGTCCCAGAAAAAATGGATCTTAGTGAGAACTGTGCTGCAGACAAGAAGCGTGCATTTAGATATGAATAGTCTATTCTAGATGAGTCAAGTTTGAACTTACATTTTGCTCTTTATACACAAGGAGTTTATTCTTAAAGCATCAGAGTACACTTGGCTCAAGCCATCTTAGCCTCAAAAGCCACGCACTGAAGAAGAACTCCTCCTAAATAAATGCTTTCAGAAGAAGCTCTGTGAAGATTTTAGGATTTTTTCCTTCCTACGGATAATGTTTAACAAAAGATAATAACACTGCAGGAAGGAAAGCACAGATGCATGAATGCGTACGTACACAGTCTAACTCCTAAATCATGTGTGCCTTTAGGAAAAAAATAAACCAACCCAGAGCATCTCAGGACAACGTGGGATAAATGCTGCAGAATGCAGTATTGTAATTTTCACCTCTCCAAGCATGAACACACATTGTGAAACCACGAACAGAGTTTAACCAACAGCAAAATTAAAACTAATATTCTAGTTCAAATATTGTTATTCCATACTCTTCATCAGCTGTCACATAAGTGATTTCCGGAGTCATAAAATATCAAAATGTAACAGATGGATCTGAGCATTAGCATCTGCTTGGTGTTTTAATAGCCACACTGTACTGCAGATGGGAATATCACAGTTCTGAGAGCCTGGGGAACATTTGTTCCTTGGGACAAGAGAGAACTTCATTATTTTTAGAGACAGAATAGAACAGAGCCTGAAAGGAAGAATATCGATCTCCGCTTAGGCTAGGGCTGAGCATGAGAACAAGAAAAGGAATCAGCATTAATAAAGCAAGCAATGAGAATCTGAAGATGGCTTTAGCTACTTACCCTTTTTCTGCATTGCTGTTTTAAGATCCTGTTTGCTTTGCTGTTGTTGGCCAGTAGCCATTTTCTCTCCATCATCTTCATCATGGCTAGACTGCCCAACAGTGAGAATCTGCACTTGACTTCCTGCTTTCTGAACATCATCTTGAAAAGCAGCTGGGCCATCAATTCCTGTCAGACAACAGCAACAGCCTTAGTTGTCATTGTGTCAAGAAGTTACTGAAAAGAGAATCACTCCCTTATAAAAAGCATGCTTCTAGGTAACAAAGATCAGAGGCTCATATTTAATAATGCTCTCTAGACTTAAGCAAGACTAAAATAGCACCGGAGGCAAAAGCCTCAGTTTGCATATGCTGTGCTTTAGAAAGTCCAAGAGGTGATCAGAACATCACTGTTGCCTTCCTCATCCTGAAGGCAATGTACCCATTCACTGAAAACTGAACGGAAATCAAATGGAGAAGAAAGACAAGTAACAGATGCAGTTCTCCCAGGGGGACACAACTGGTTTGGAAATAAACCTGAGTCTCAGATTGTGCTGTATTCCCTATAAAATATGAAGACTCCCATTAAGAAACAAAAAACCTAAAAAATTCACTTGCAGAACTAGCAGCATATACAACAGGAGTATCAGACTAACGAGCCCAAATATGCCTACCAAGTCAGTGAACTGTCATACAACTAGAAAACCAGAATGAAACTATATGAAGATAATAAACATCCCTTGCAATCTCCATCTTTTTGGGACACTTGAAATCAGACTGGACACCTGGGCAACCTCCTCTGAGCAGGGATGGAGGTCAAGACAGTACATGAGGCACCTTCCAGCCTCAGCCATGCTGTCATTCTGAGTTCTGGCTCTATGTATCTCCTGATTGCTGTATTTTGCCTCTGAAGATGTAAGAATGAAAATAAAGAGTGTGGGGAGTGTTTTTATCATAAGCTAAAACTTCTTTCTTCAGGGCAGTAAGCTGAAACATCAGGCTGCAAACATACTTCAGCTCTTAGTGAAGATTTAGTGCTGGTATATATTACTAAACCAGCTACATAAAAAAGCATTTCTGCACCAATAAAAAAAGCACTATTATCATTTACAGATGTGGTAAATAACATTACCCTTTGTGCTGTTGCTGTTTTAAAGGCTATGTTTTAAAAGCATTACAAAGAGCTAGCTCAGGATAAGAATATGCTGCTCCTCAGACCAAACAGAGCTGAATGAATCCTCTAAGAATGAACTGTTAGGGACTGGGGTGTTTGCAGACATCTGTAGCAGAAGTCTCCAAGATTACCATTACAACCTTCCTTGCCAGTAGCTGTCAACTTGTATTACAAGACAACTGGATGATACATTAGGATGCTTAACTGTACGCTGCCATACCTGATGTCACTGTCACTGTGGTGAGAAGCATAAGTGGAAAAAAAAGTGCTCCACCCCCTCAGTAACAGCACTGACTGTGCTACCACATAACAAGGTGCAGTCCAACACCACAGAAGTATTGAAAAACTTTCAGGTTAGATGGAAAAAGAGAGAGACAAAACAAGAGGAGCTGTGACTGACATTTCGCACAGATTTCAAGGTCAGAAGAAATTGATTCTGCTGCATCATGCAGAACCTTATGACAAATTCTGCACCAATCTGTAAGTTCCGGCGTAGTTACAGTAAAACTAACAACAAATAAACAATCAGTTTGTCCAACCTAGGAAGTCTAAACGAACCTGAAGGAAATGTTTCTATCATCTTTGCAAGGTAAGAGTTTCAGGTGCTGTGTGTGACGCAGAGTGCATTGCAACCCCATGGCCACTGCTCTACTGGTGCATTATCCTCCATGCCCAACATGTGTGACTCATTCTGAACAGACCTAATGAGTTCCTGCTACTTGATTGTTTTTACACCATCTGTTAAGCAACACACATTCTACACCATACAGTACCTTGTCCCTTCAGAAGTCAGCTCTCAACCTTACCTTTGATCAGTGAAAGGAACTAAACTTTCTATGTCCCTGCATGTTTTCTTGTCTTCCACTTTTCAAATCATTCCAAATTCTTTGAAAGTTTCCCCTTTGAAGCCTGGAGTGCCATTAGTTTAGTTGTGGCCTCCAGTGCCATTTCCTGCATAACAACAGAGCTCCTCTCACCTTGGTTTTCATCTTTCAGGAGGTGATGTTTCCCAGGACAGTCTGCCAAACAACCAGTGCTCCCCAAGTCCTTTGTCACTAAAATACTGCATTACTGAAAACTAAACCTAAATCCTGCATCCAGCTTTACAAAAATGCATGCTGTCTAAGTGAATTCTAGTTCACCGGATGAACAGATTGCTGTTCCACAAGTCTTATAATTCACAACACAAAGCTGTGTTTATTCAGCAAACTTTGCCATGATTTAAATTCTCAAAGTTTTGACTGGAAGGCATCAGTCCCAAAAAAGAGAAGACCTCTTTTCAACATATTTACTGTTGGCACTTCTCTTAGGAAACTGCCTGAGTCTAACTTGTACAGTGTGACATGGATGTTGCAGATACCTGCACTTTAATCTCATGCAGCTTAAGTCAAATCAAACAAAGAAGAGGTCAAGAACAAACATATAAAAATAATGAAAGCTACAGAAAAAGTAAATTTAAATTTCTATTTGCCACCACTCACAAAAGCACAAGGATTTTCATCAGGTCGTTGATATACTGAAAGATAGCAAACGCAAAACAATGACTGCAGAGAACTAAGCACTGAACCTGAGAAAAGCAGTAACAAAGGAAACTTTAAAAAGTTTATGGCATCCAAATATTCACATACCAATTTGGGCAACAGCAACATTCTTAACTACCATACACTAGCAGGGACAAATTTTATGTTGAACAGTGTAATTCCCAAGGCTGTAGGCACAACGTTGCAGTGAGCAGAATAGCAGTTTTGCTGACTGCGAGTTATTTCAGGATAAGCACTACAGCAGAGGTATTCTAGAACAGAAAACTTCTTGGATCCACTGCACTACTTGGAACGACTCTATTCATATTAACCATCATTTTTAAAGTGACCAAAATCTGATTCTTACCATAACTTTCACAATGTCAAGCATTAAGCACCCATGAAATGAACAAGATGCTCATCCCTTGTGCACATCTAGACCTTACTAAGTTTTGGACGCTCGAAACCTAACTTTGTAAACCCATTTCAAAAGGAACAAAACACCCTAATTATTCTTCCTCTAAGCAGATCAATATCTGCAGCAAAAGAACTGACTGACAGCAGTAGAGACTGCACTGAGGCTGCTGCTTGCTGATGCCTGCGGAACATCTGTGCTCACATCCCGCGCTGTCAGGAACATCACGTATTACTAGGCAGCAGGACAAAGGCTACCCTGGCAGGGCACACTTTTAGAAAAATCAATTCCAGCATTCTAAAGTATGCATCACTGGTAGAGTGTGTTATTAAGCGTTACGAACGGTTCTGCTGGTGACTCCATTGGTGTCACCTACAAAGACAGGCTGAGGGAGCTGGGCTTGTTCAGCCTGGAGAAAAGAAGGCTGTGGGGTGACCTCATTGCAGCCTTTCAATACCTAAGGGGAGCCTACAAACAGGAGGGGAATCAACTCTTTGAAAGGGTAGATAACTGCAGGACGAGGGGAAATGGTTTGAAGTTGAAGGAGGGAAGATTTAGGTTGGATGTCAGGGGGAAGTTCTTTACAGAGAGAGTGGTGAGGTGCTGGAACAGCTGCCCAGAGAGGTTGTGGATGCCCCGTCCCTGGAGGTGTTCAAGGCCAGACTGGATGGGGCCCTGGGCAGCCTGGTCTAGTATTAAATGGGGAGGTTGGTGGCCCTGCATGTGGCAGGGGGGTTGGAGATTCATGATCCTTGAGGTCCCTTCCAACCCTGGCCATTCTGTGATTCTGTGATTCCATTGAAGGAAATGGAAGATCTAGCTGGGCAGAGAGAGAAAAAATGAAAATAACCCCTCTAGTATCATAATATTGGGGGGGGGGAGGGGAAGCAGCAAATAAATTTGATGCTGCAGATGGCTCATGGCAAACACAGGATTAACTATAATTTTTGTGTGTGCGCATGCATTATTGCAGTTATATGTGTATGTGCTACGTAGTTACATGCAATGTCACTAAATGCAAGCACACACATTTCTTTTATATGTCATGTGATGTCTGCGTATTTTGTTCAGTCATAGTTCAAAAGGCCGCTTCATCATCACCTGCCTAATGTCTGAAAGCACTTTCAAGCCTGCACAAATTGTGATATTTGAGGTGAATCTCTCCCTTTGTTCTCATTCTTTGCCTCACTGCCTCCTTGTCCTTCCACCCACCTACTGGAAGGATGGTTCACAGAGCAATAAAAGCAAACAACTCATGTCTACAGCTTCAAGTTTCCAGTTTAAGAAGAGTGTCAGGAAAGACAAGCTGAGTGGGCTGTGCCAAAAATAAAGTGTTTATAGCTAGATGCAGGGCTTTCTACATTTTTCTTCCCAAAGGTAACGTAGAGAAAAACTGATGGACATGTCCTTGAATATCTGTTAAGAAGAAAAGGAATTCTTTATATTACCCTCTAGGCAACTACAAAGGAAGGCAGGGAGAAAAGAGGGAGACTGAAACAACCCTGTTACTGAAGCAACTTCCTTCAGTGATGACCTTCTGGAAAACTTTGACACTGTTGTGTCTCTGAGGAAACCTGGAACTACCAGAAATAAAAAAACAGGGAAAAAACCCAACCAGCAATTCAACAACCAGCATTCACTGCTGTATCTCAACACTTCAAATCTTATAGACAGAATTGATAATAAACAGAACATTTTGTTGCTCAAGAGATAATCAAGAAAGAATAACAGCTTTCTTTTTTTACAGTCAGAGTGGTGAGGTGCTGGAACAGCTGCCCACAGAAGTTGTGGATGCCCCGTCCCTGGAAGTGTTCAAGGCCAGACTGGATGGGGCCCTGGGCAGCCTGGTCTAGTATTAAATGTGGAGGTTGGTGGTGTGCATGTGGCAGGGGGGTTGGAGATTCATGATCCTTGAGGTCCCTTCCAACCCTGGCCATTCTGTGATTCTAATATTCTTTCACTTGGAGGAGGGTGTGGGTTCAAAGAGGAGGATAGACTACATCCATCCAGCTGTGTATGACCAGGGAAAGCTGGTGAAAGTGACCACTGCTTACAGATGAGGACCAGAACAAGGAGAGATACTCCTATGTGACAGTAGCAGACAATGCACAATGTTAGTCTTGTATAAATCAGTTCAAGCTTCAACAAGTGGCAAACTACCCAGCAATATTTCCTATTGGTACTTCTACATGGACTTGTAAGCATAGGAAAGAATGATTAACTGATTAACACGCTAAGTTTTAAGAATATGCTTACGTTGTTTGTGTATCAGACTCAAAAACAAGTCCAAGTTACATCCTTCCTCTGCAAATGCAAATGCCACTGACACTAGAAACTTTCCTTCATTTCTTTCTTTAAATGTGCCTTAAAAGTTAAGATAGTTAGGTTAGACAAGCCACTGGTCCAACACATAAGGCACATCCAGGTGGACAAGGCAAGGCTGCAACCAGCAGCAAGGCTGCTATTACAAACTGCAGAGCAACTCTTCTGCCAGCTTAAGACTGTAGCTTCAAAAGTCAGTTAGCCTACTCCAAGGTTAGAGACAGAAAAATCCATTTTTATTATACTGACACAGAAACAAAGAGAATTTCCAGGCTTTAAAGAACTTGGCTGAAAGGAAACTTTGCTTCTGCTGCTTCCATTGCTTCAAGTGATCTATGTTTTAAGCTAAAAAGAAAAAAGAAAACAAAAACAGCAGTTGATTATCTTTTTCAAATCCATCCAGAAGTCAGACCACCAAGTATAATGAGGTTTACTTCTGGAACAGTGGTACAAGAAAGCAGTATTGCAAAACTCAGTTAATTAAAAGGGTTATTTCTCACAGTGATTACTTATGAAGCTCTAGCATGACAGCTAAAATGAAATATCAGGAAACTACATCTTTTAGAAACACAGAAGTCTATTACTTAGAAAAGCAATAAAGTTTGTTGGGTTTAATTCTCCTCAAAAGAGAGAATGCTTAAAGGGGTACAAAAAAAGCAATTTTTGTTCTATCTTTAGGATCACCTCGCCTTAAGTATAGTGGAGCTGTTAATATTTTCTAAGCCACTTCCAGCATATGTCTGTTCTCTTAGGGACTGCACATCCATTGAGATTGGTTCCAGCAAATGCAAAATCACAAAGGTATTTGTTGGTAAGGAAATGGATGCAAAGAATATATATATATATATACATTTTTTTTTTTTTTTAGGAAAGGACCCCAGAGGTGATCTAGCCTAAATTTCAGTCGAAGGAAGGCCTAACATTGCCAACATCACATCAGGTCAATACAGCAAGCACTCAAGCAGCAAGCTCTACATTCACCTTGATGAAATCTAGAAAACTGTAGCTGGATTTCATCACTATTAAGTCTGTGTGTGCCTAAATTGTAGCTTGGAAGGGCTGTCAAATCTGGTAACAGCAGGGTTTTTCTTGGTGGAAACTCATTTGCTCCTCCTTTCTCTTTAATGCACAGGAAACCAAGATAAATCCACTCTACATAAACTCCTTTATTCCTATAAGAGTAAGTACTACGATGAGAAATAATGCTTCTCGTCCAACAAATGGTGCTACTTTCTGAGTTGGCCAGCACTAATGTAGTTTCTTGTTACATAAAAAATGGGACAGGATACACAAATCAAAACAGACAGACAGGCGTGAAAGAGAGGAAATAAACATGGAAGAAGTAAATAAAATCAAAACACGGAACAGTTATCCTGGCAGAAAAAGTACTGTGTGTCAGAGCTTCTCATCTGCTTTCTGACTTCCATACGTGCAGTAAGGGAAAGTGTTTCCTAGAAGATGCTAACATGGTATATCTACAGTGGGTTCAGTAAGAAACAAACCCTCGTGGAATGACTTATGAATTTCCATGTCAGATTTCACTCTGAATTATGTTCTGCCTTTGCATGTTTGTTTGTCTGTTTTTTATATTGGCAAAGGTTCTTTTTATCTTCCTGATTTGCTTCTGCATGATTCACTGCAAAGAGCCAAAAAAAGCACTTTACTTCACAAACCTACACTGAGAAAAAAGAAAACAAACTAAAAACAACAACCAACCACTTCACACCACAACATACAACCGTACAATCTCAATTCTGAACAAATAATCTAGGTGTTTGGGATATAAACATGTTCTGGTCTTGTATTTGCATCCCATGCTGGGTGCATGTTTTTCATAGGTATTTGTTGCAATTGTTTTCACTTGTTTGGACTATTTGTCTGTTGTTCACTAATATCCTTATGCAGCACTTCTTTGCATCACGAAGTTCAAAATCAAGTCACCGTTCAATCCATTATTTCCACCATTTTATGTATTCACTTGCTTCATTTTTTGCCTTTTTCCCAATATCAAATATTATGTCCGACAGTAAACTTGGAGACCCAGCCTTTCAGAAATCCCACTATGAAATGCAATCAATTTACTGCATTTATAGGCTTTTACCCATAAAAATGATGTTTCTTTTTAAAAACAGTGTATCTGGGATACATCGTTAAGAGAGAAATATCTGTAGTAACACAAATTTAGAGAAAGTTGCTAAATGCTACGCTACCCATCACAGAATTACAAAATGCAGTGAACCCTCACTCAGGAGCAACCACCAGCTCTATGTGAGCAATTAGCCACATCCTTCTCTTGCCCTGTGTCAGTGTAACCTCATTAAACCTACTACTTCCCTCATGTTTATCTTTAGCACATTGTTCTGATCATAGTTTCATCTTCTTTGAGCCACTTAAAAAGGCATTACACATCTAAGACCAGAGTAGGATCATTACATTACAGCTGCAAGAGCTATTCATGTATAATTCAATGATTCTTGGTCTGAATTAGCTTATTATTCATAGGATCTAGTCCAAAGGCTTTTTTTTTTTTTTTTTTTTCTTCAAGCACAAAGAGCTCAGCTGCACTCAGAAAAGTAATACTATAACTAAACACTGACAGAAACCTTTAAAATGTTATCTTACTAAGTATTGTGCATTCACCCCTCAGCAACCATCCTGTTCACGTACAGGACATGTAAAAGTTACAGCATGAAACAGACCTGGATTGCTCAAACATTAACAAGTGGGCAAGCTGCACATCCATCCCCTAAATATTACAGAAAACCAAACACAAAACTCCTTTCAAGCAGCTGACAGCAATGGCAGAGATTCTGAAGATTCTGCTAACTACACAACCAACAAGAACTCAGGAGAAAACTGATTAGAAAACATGCAAATTTAAACACATAAACATACACTGGTGTTACACAATGCAGATTTCCCAAATTAAGCCTACTGTATCTGACCAGAACAATATTTTAAGTTCTGTACATATACAGACAGCTCAAGCACTCATTATGAGATGAAACAGAACCTCAAGGCTATGCAGTAGGAATAATTTAAGTATTACTCCACAAAATGCTCAACTGCAGCCTCAGGAAGGTTTTCTTTTCAACTAGTAAGAGAAATTTTATTCTCCAGTAAAACCCACTTCAGAATAAAACTTGGCATCTGTATTACTATGCTGGAGTGGAATTACTTTTTATGTTAAATTCATAAATATTAGCTTTCTGTTCACTTATTTTGCAAGTTTTTACACAGAGTTAATTTTACTTATTATTAATTTTATTTATTATTTTAAGCTGAAGTATTGATGAGACAAACATCACCTTTCTTTCAAATAAATAAATGAATAAACTCTTTACTTCAGGGCCAGCCTCTGAAAGCTGACTAACCCAGTCTCATGGGGACTACAGATATAGAGAAGCTGAAGATTCACATCTCAAGAATTAGGTTGCAATGTGGTTTAATGGATTTTGATAAGGTAGGCTCAGGTCCTGAAAATCCCTGTAGATAAGTCTTTATACTCTGACCTCAATAATTACCTTTGTTAGTCATTATTATCATTAAGTAGACTTGTCAACAACAGACACTACACTCTACCTAGGAAATAATAGAAAGACTGCAGGAAAACATCAGATGGGATACAGTACAGCCTAGGCACGACAGTTTTACAACAGCCTTATCCAAGAACTGCAAACTAGTGGAAAGGTATTTATTAATTTCATTAATCATCAGCCATCAAATAAAAAACCTCGCATATTATGATACAAAAATCTCTCTTTTGTGTATGTGTGTGCATACATAAAAAAATATTTTATATATATTTTTTACCTTACCTACACTTCTGTCATTATCAATAGCTTTTTATGTTTAACCAAATTACCCAAAATCATTGCAGACATTTTTTTCAGACAAACACCCCACATAATTTTACGTTAGGACAAATTAATTCTGTAGTAACAACATGAAGAATCCCTTTGAAGATATTATCTTGGATCTAGTAAATTTAATTTTCAAAATTCTCACTGAACCTCAAATTCGTGCAGCGTTTAAACCTCATTGAGAGTCTTAGAATGAAGGCTGTTCCTCCAAATTACACTGCATGCAGACAGACAAAGAAAAATCATGCTGGTGTGAGATGGTTGTCACTTCTTTAACACTGCAGGAAAGCACCTTTTCGTCTGTTTCATCAGGACTTTTTTACTCATCTAGAATTTGAATAAACGTGCTCCTTCGGAACAGACGTGGTTTACACATTCAGCCCTCCTTCACACACTCAGCTCCACGTCATCCACGTTTTCCAATCTCATAAAAACTGCAATAAATCACTTTCAGACAACTCTCAGAAAGCCACTGATTTTCACAGAAACGAAACAAAACAAAAATAAAGAAGAAGAGAGGTATTGGTGCAGTCAATTCAACATCTGACATTCGGCAGCATGCAGCTAACCTTTGTGTTTCCCTTTTTTCTCCTTTCTGGCACTGCCAGTCTGACAGCTTGCAGATGCTGCCTTGGCTTTTTTAGTTGATTTCGGAGCTTGGGCATCCACTACCACCTTTACATCTTCCTGTTCGGCCTCCTGTACTGCTTGAGAGATTCAGGGTACCCCATGAAAAAGAAAAAGAGAGAGAAACAAGAGAGAAACAAATTGAGAGAGAGAAGAGAGAATGTATTGAGAATTCTGAGAAGGCATAAAGATGTAAGCAGACATAGCAGAATTTGGTATTTCAGATAATTCATGCAAAGAGGAGATTCAAATAAATGAGAAATTGCAAAGTTACAGTAAAAAATTGGAAGCGTTAAGTTAAGTGGGATGTAGTTCTTAACCTTTTCCCTCTTTCCAATAACATGCTAGCTGCTAGCTTTCAGGCCAAAAATAACATCAGAATATTAATGTGCTGCTGAGCTATTGTAGGAAGCACATTTCCTCATCCTAAAGTCTGCCAGACTGATCACAAACAGTGGCAGCATGAAGGCAAAAGAGCTTCATTTAGACTTTGTGGTGTCTATGTTTAAAACTATATCTTAAAACCATAAACAAGGAATCACTGGCTTTCTTCTCAGAGAAACATACCTTGTACAACTGTCAGCACCACAGTATGATGAGTAGGACAGCCAGGCACTTTATGGAGAAACTATAGACAAAGCTGAAACTACAGACTCCCCCTAGTTTGTACCGTACAAATTAATTTTTTGAAGTCTCAGCATGTTATGCGTGGCACAAACTATGAATGTCAGCGTAATTCACAAACTGCTAGATGCTGTCAAAGTAAAAAGAGGCTTTATCACTTTCCATGAGCACAACATGCTTTGAGATCAATATTTCAACCTGTGCAAAGCAACACATGCAGTAACTCTTTTGGCCAGGCCAAGCCTTGAATTCAAGTAACACTAAAGTAGAGAGGCATAAAAACAATCATCTCTGTGAAATACATAAAGAAGTCATCAAACTTCACACCCCAAGCAAAATAACCTGTAGGTGGGCGCTAAAAAATGTTGGCACCAGCTGCTGGTTGCTGTTAATTGCTAAGCCCCCAGCTTTGTGAGGTGACTGATTTATCCCACAGGAATATCACCATGGCTCTCAGGGCCTCCCACCATTTCTTACTCCCAAAACTAAATTGTTCTCTTAAAAATAAATGAATGAACAAAAAAACCTCAAAGGAATCTAACTGGAACAAACTGGCTACCTATAAATTTAGGTAAAAACATATCTGGCAAACTTCCTACGGCCCCAGAAGGGCTCGTGATGACACGTGGACAGCCAGTTGTCCCTTTGAAAAGGGAAATTCTCCCCAGGTTTCTGGTCTCTGAGGCAACCATCCTGTTCACCAAATCCTGCATGCACACAAAGAGCAACAGAAGCAAACACCGAGGAGATTCCCAGAGGAATAAGATGAAGTCAGCCATGTCTGTGTGAATGCACCTTACAACCCCAGAGCTGCTCTCCTCAGTACAACAATCCAGTACCAAGAGCATTACATTCACTGCACAAGGAGCATCTGGAGCACTCACTAAACACACGCTCCCTTTTCATTACACAGAGGAAGAGTCCAAGTTTTACAGAGTACGTAGGTGAAATTGGCAGAGGTGTGAGTGATTAATAGCTCAAATAAACAGCTTGGCATTGCCCAGTTCCTCACTCCTGTCTTTTATCAAACGAATCCCAAGACTGCGGTCTCCTTGCTGAGCATCACAGAGCACTGCAGAAATGAACAAGACAGAACTGGAGAGCGAATGCACAGCGTGTCAGGGAAAGTGGCACACACACAGCAGCATGGCATCCTATTTCCACAGGCATGGCAGCCTTGCACTAAGCAGGGAACCAGAGTGTCCCTGCTGCACGGCCTTTAAATAGGCAGAATTGGTCAGCCTAGCAATCTGTCCTGTACTTGTAACTCAGACAATCTATAAAAAGGAGAGTATGTTCTTTCCATTGTTTTAAGGATGATAATCCTCCTTTTAATTGAACTTCACTATTTTATAAATGACCAACATTCAATGACCAGTCAGTTCCCTTTTAAATATGACCACATTCATTCTTTCAGAAAGTATCATCTACTTGGCCCAAAGCAATGATTAATAAGCAAGGGATGAAATGTTCTAACATTGTATATTGAACAGTTAAAGACTTATCCTCACTGTCTGGTCAGCTGTCCTTTGATTAAACAAGAAAAAGCCCAAAGCTTTTTGAATTCATTTTGTCCCATAACTTCCAGTGATTATAAGTACAGTGATGTGTGCTTCAAAGGCCAGAGAAGAAAATACCTCCATTACATTAATCTATAATGCAAAATTTTCAAGCGACAGCCATTTTGAACTTACACCATCACTGCTGTATATGGTAAACAGAACTTTCAAACGTAAGTGATGGAGGATGAAAAATAAAACTTAAACCATAAATGTGCCAGTATTACAGATGGGTTTGTGAAAGGAGTTTGAACAGAATCTCATAATTCTAGAAGAACTTTTAATGACCTGTAACATTACATTTAAAGCACTAGCTCTAAACTAAATTCAAATCAAATCCCAAAATATCATCTTCATCGCAAAACCCCACCACGTTATCGTTAGCTATTGATTACCCAGAAAACAGCAGACTTTCACTAAGGCTCATCCACTTGCTAATGTCTTCTCTGGCCTCCCTGCATAATTGAAACTGCTATAACGATATGATTATGTGCTCAGTTGGATGTTAAAAAGTTAAGTGATAAACAATGATACCTGTAGCACAGGACAAATAAAGACTCTTACATGCAGCTACAGGGATGAAGTTGCAGTGAATGACACTCAAAAGTGTATTCATTTCAATTAAAAATAAAAAGAAGATCAGTTAACTTTAAAAATCCCACTTCTCTTAACTGTCAGGTGACTACATTCAAAAATAAAACCCAATACCTCACATTTCCAGCTCTAAATTATTAAAATCTTCATTAAAAAAATAAAAGATTATTTTCCTTTTCAATTTGATTTGCATGTATTAGAATTTTCATTTAGACAAGACAGAAATGTGAGCAGGGTGTTTTACCTTGAGACAAAATTCCAAAGAGCAAATGACACTGGACCATCGTGCCACGTGTTTCATTCCCTTTTGGACTCATAAACTATAAGAAATTGCTTTGAGATAAATGGCAAGATATCAAGTAATGCAATGATATGATTTTAATTCTACTGTTATTCATCTTTTTGTTAGATCGACTGCCCATTACTAACCCCAACACAGTATTACATGCTTTTTGGGAGACAGAAAATGGGGTTACCTTACCCACTGAAAATCAGAGCTAAGAGGGAAAGATGAACAACAAACAAGCGAAGTAACAGCACACAGTCTTGACATCAAAGTGGAAAAGGGCCCTGAGTTGGTTTTGCTTTCCATTGTCAGGAATCCAACAGCCAAAAGTGTGGAAAGAAGTATTTCATGAATCAGTTCTGACAACACTGTGGTAGGGCTACAACTCATAACCAATGGGAAGGATGCAATTTCTGAGTTACTGAATAATCTGTGATGCAGACAACAAGGAATTGAAAAAAAATACTGAAAAACAGTTATCTACAGATATTCAAGTGAATGACAATGAAAAGCATGTTTTTTCTGTCTGGCCTTCATGACTGTAAGTTCACACAGGAAATTCGATTCAAAGTGCCTTGCAATAAAAGTGATTTTCTTATTCACTTGCATGCCTATTTTTCTTGAATACTTGAGTACTCTCATGTTCTTAAATGAAAAAAGGGAAACTCTAACATAACATACCAATGCCACGTGATAGGAGAAAAAATATTTTTGATCAGTATATTACATGAAGAATGAAGAAAGTAAAAAACTACACAAGCACACAAAGAAATGGACAGATTAAAAAATCTCACAGTAGTGGAAAGAACACCTCATGTAGAAAGATGGATAAATTATGTGATGCAAACCATTAGCTCGACTCTATGAAGCTATTCACTCTATTTATCACAGTATTGATTTGTTCTCTCACAGTAAAAGTGAAATCCAGAAAGATTACCACGCAAAGAAAGCTAAACTACAGTTCAAGGGTGTATCTTAACAAATTGGGGCAAATTAGTTGTTCTTTTCCTAGCGTCTGAATTGTTCCTGTGTTTCACAACAAAAACAGCTCACCGCTTTGCTTTGTAACATATTAGTCTTAGTGAATAGTGTTACTTATTTTGGCTTCTTCTTTTTTTTGTCAATTTAAGATCATGAACTGACCTAGCACTTTTACCATCCTAAAACAGACAATAGATTGCATAAGAAATATCCAGAAGAAAAGCAAAATCACTGTATTGTAGAACAAAGTATTTTTTATACAGAAGACCTGCAAAAAAGAACATATTGAAGAAAAAAAGTTGCTACATGCAAGGGTCTGGATTAGGGCAAAGATGCTGGCATGTAAGGTAATAGTCATGATTATTTGATGTTCACATTAAAATGCTTATAATCAAAGGCACTGTCCCTGCAGCTAGCAACTTACAGATTCCAGTCTCCCAAAAAATTATGCAGCCTGTAAAATCACTTGTGTCTCTGTGCAGCTTCTGCCTCTAGTACTGGTGGATTATCAGGATGATTTCACAAAGGTGAAAATACTTGTAATTGAAGCTCAATGTGAAAGGGCTGAGAAAAAGAGCAAGGGTACATGAGGACTTGCTGGTGCTTGAGGGATCCCAGTTCTTTCCTTGCTGCATCTGGGACTGCAGAGGATGCTGTTGGCAGCAGCCAGCTCTGCCTGCTGCATTCAGAGCCTGTGGGATGGGTTCCCATTTGTGAGGGCACTGCCGGTGCTGGGCTCACTTTCACAAGCAGACTCCTTGTTCCTTTGGGAGCTGCTGGCTGCTGCTGCTTCCCAACATCAAACTGCAACAAGGAAATGTATTTCAAGTAGAAAGAGAAGGGCGCTTTTCAAGAAGTTTCTCTCAGCTGCCTCGAAACCTTCTCAAAACTTCTAGTACCAAGAAACACAGAGACCTCCAAACGACTTGCTACCTGCTGTTCTCTGCAGCTACAGGGTTAGTTAGTCTATTTTGGGAATGCACTAGGATGGTAATGACTGATAATAAATCAAGAAGATGCTTTAAAGGATGAAGGGTAAAGAGACTGCGGCTGTAAGGGAGATTTCAGAATATATGCTTATTGGAAGTTAGGTGTTTTGCCCACATGATGCTTGGAGTGCTGCCGGATCTCAATATTAATAGCCTTCTCCATAGAACATTCCTGGCTGCCTTCAAAAAAATAAACTAACACCTCATTTCAAGGTTAGTGAAATACAAGGATGCAACACGCAGTTCTGATGAATGCTTAAATACAGTGGGTTTTTTTGTTTGTCTTTTGTTTTAAATGGTTAACTGACATTCACTTATAAGTTGACAGCTTGGTACTCATCAAAAACCTGTCTCTCACCCTTTATGACAGAAGGCCAGAATGTCATATCAAACTTAGCAGTCCAAACCTGTGCCTTTTACCTGAAATCTGCTGTTCAACACAATACAGAACCATTTTTCTAGATGCGCTGGCGAATGACAAAAAAGGAAAATAAGGAAGCAACTTTGCTTTTTAGCACATGGTTAATCAAAATCTCTAAATTGGAAGTTGACATGAAAATTGTTCAGAGAGTTTCTAAAGGAAAACAATTTTAATTCCAGGTCTTTAAAAAAAAAAAAGCCACAGCTGCAACAAAATATGGTAATATTAATGAAAGCATATCTGGCACACATTCAAATCTCTGCCTTCCTCACTGCTGTGAAAAGAAAAAATCTCTCCCTGGTGGAAATTCACCATTTCCATAGATATAAAATTACTTTTCTTTGTAAAAATGGGTCTTCATCATTTGCATTAAATGTGATCAAACAGTGTAATTAAATTGTTGCAGTAAGCAGCGTATCTCTGCGTGCTACTTGGTTTGTATATGTATTTGCAATCCAGACTGAGAAGAGCAGCAGTCATAGCAGAATTCTGCAATGCCTATCAGGCTAAAATGTTTGTTCAAGTTTTGAACAAGTACTTTCAAAATAAGGGGTGTAGAGATGGATGAAAACAAACAAGAAGATGTGACTGCAAGGCGTTACAGGATGGCAAGCAGCATTTAATAAAAACTTTAAACAAGCAGGTGGCAACATGCTTTCTGAAGGACACTGAACTGAAAATAAACAAGGTCACAAGAAAGAGGAAGTAACGAAGGATTAAGCTTATCCCACTGAATTGTCATCTCCTATATACAATCTATGCTTAATTTCAACACATGTTCTTTTTCAGCTATTTTTAATGATGAAGTAATGAAGAAGTTGTATTTAATACTACAAGAAAAGCAGGCTTCGTTTGTAATAAACTGGAGCCAAACATCATGGAAATTAATGGAAGGAGACTTATTGCTTGAAGTGGCAGGCAGATAATTTAGATTCTAACTTACAGGCATGGCCCCAAAATAATATCAATACATTCATTTCAATGCCAAGGAAAAGGCCACTATGCTCATTTTACATGCATGCTTCCTGCTCCCTCCACACAGTCAGTTTTGTCCTGGACTTAATCAAGAAATACTGCCATTGAAGTACTTCTGCTAGTATGCCTAAATTTGCTCAGGGACATGATTTAGAAGAAGTCTGTTAGAGTAGTATGGTTAGGTTGTGGTTGGACTCAGTGATTCGTTAGGTCTTTTCCAACCTGAGTGATTTAATGATTCTATGATTCCTAGGGGCAAAAATTATAAAACAAGAGATTCTGTTCCCATTAAATATATCTCTGCAACCTCTACCTCAAATAATGAAAACAGTTTCTGGTCCTACTTGATCTACAGATGCTGTCTGGCAAGTAGTGGGAAATGCAGCAAACTGGCTTATACCCCAGCTCAGACTAACTGGACTAACTCCACTTGTGGACTAGAATGTCAAGGATTTATCTGATCTCAGGTTGGCCTGTTCAATCAAATTCATCTCAGTTCTTGCAGATAACTCAAATAATTTTGCTGTTATTAGTTAATAAGCCAGTATGACACTAATCAAAAGGTTTTGGAGGGATATACTTCAACATGGAAGTTATTTATAAGCTGCAGGATCTGAAAATTCTTACCTAATGGCAAAGGGTTCTTAAAATATGTAGTTCCATGCTATCTACCTATTTCCAGGCCAATGTTTTCTTCCAGATCTTGACTTTTTTTTACTCTACTCTCTCACAATTATTCTGGAATGAAATCAGTTTTTGTTCCAGAATAGAGTTGCCCATCAGAAAAACACTGCAGCAAAGATAACTGCAACAGAATAAGCTATGGCAATGTTTAAAAGAGAATTTCCCAGTGCAGAAAGCCTAACATTTCAGCAACTCTGAGATGTTATCTCTGACCTACTTTAAGCAAAGTACCACAGAGATATCTCCAAATAGGCATCCAATTGTTTTTCGAAATCAACCAGTGCTTTTGTGCTGCATAGAATTAATACAAGAAGAGTAGAGGAGGATGGTAGGTGTAAAGTGTTCTTTTTGCAGTATTTGCTGTACAGGAATTGACTTAACAAACGTGTTCATCCGAGCAATGTAGTTCATTCAGCAGACCTTCAACTCCCATCAAAGAGTCATTCTTAACTAAAAATCTGCATGCCTAGAACAGAAACAAATGAACGGAAAAGAGCAGAATAGTTCTTTAGAAACAGCCCAGCTGTCTCATGCATCCGACACTCCCACATACAAATGTATTCATTGAAGGGGGAAAAAAAAAAGCACCAACCCTGAAGCTGAATACTGTAGTTAAAACCGGTCATCAGAACCTAACTATGTGTCATGCAAATGCTAAGAACATTCCCAGAGAAGACCACACCAAAAAAGGATGCTTTCGGAGTTCTTGTAATATTTCCAAGAGTAATGTTCCCAACAAAGGATTTTATAAGGCAATAAAACACTTTACTAAGTCACTAAATTCTCCTAAGTTGGCTTTTGCAACGGCATGGCTTATTACAAAGACAGCTGACCCGCAAAGACCAGCAAACTCTTAGAATGAATATGAGAAACATTATCTCTTGCTTCTCTGAAACCTTGTTAAATATTGAAAGGGTTTGAGAGAAAATCAGGAGATTTAAGGAGATTGGTAAATATTCCAGTAAATGGTACAGTACAACACAACAGGAAGGGTCACACTTTACCTTAAGAGCACAGTTAATCTCACTTAAGTCAGAAAGTCCACAATGGTGCAAACTGTTGCAAAATTTACTTCAATTAACATAGATAAGAAATATGCTACCTTTTATAGGATTACAATGCCTGTTTTTCTGAGCTATGAAAATTTAAACTTGATTCTACCTACAGTACAAAAAGTTCAGTGTATAATGGCACCTGATGAGCAAGGAGAGGAAATGTGTTTTCTCCGTTTAAAAAACATAAAAAACCTAAAACTAAAAAAGTGCCCATCATTTGTAAATCTACACTTCTCACAATATGATCTGTTAGTCCCGCAAATGTCTGCTACAACCCTGTTAAAAGGTGTGACCACTAGCTGAAAATGACATTACACAACAGACAAGAAGTAGAGCGCACACAGTGCACTTGAGAGAAATCTGCAACAACTGATAATTATGCTTTTGTTTGTTCTAAAACTGAGATTTTGGCCTTTTTTTTTTTCAGGTGTAGATTCACGAAGACATCTTAGGCTTTGGTTTTTCAGACACTGAACCCTAACTACTCTGCCACCTAATAGAATTCTCAATCTGACAACAGCCATTGCACTCCCAGTACCCTTCTATTTCAGCTCATGTCCCACACACTCATCAACACTAACAGAAGAAAGCCTTTGGCTACGGAGTTGAATCAAATTCAACATAAGGGTATGCAAAACAAAGACTGAAGATCACTGTTCTTTATACCTCTTGGATGTACTGTCAGCCTGGAACAAGATCTGTAAGAGACACAATATTGAACATGTGTTACCCTAGCTTTTCTCTAGGATATCCTGAGGAAAAGCATGCACCTAAGCAACATCAGGGGCAACTAGCATGGGCTAGTTGAATGCAGAACTGAATGCAGAACTAAATAACGACTGGTTTCCTTAGGATTTATTGCTGATGACAAAATTCTCTGAACAGTACAGAAATGGCTTTACAATTTTTCACCTGAAGTGCCTCTGTCCCTTTTGGAATTTGTAATCTTTAATAAGAAACTGCAGACCACAGTTTACAACTTTTGGATATTCTTCTCTACCTACTCACCTACTTTAATGAAGCTTGCAGAAATGTAATATCTATGAGGTTGTGATGTACAAACTTAGTTGAAATTATTAAGAAGTTTCAAATTTACCATTAACACTGACAAGAGATCCATAGCCTAGTACGGTACGAGCTTTACTTCAGAGGAAGCAAAGGCTGATGACACTTAAATACTGCCAACTGAAATGGTAGCTAGTTACCTTCCTCTGTTTCCTATTCTTCTATGGTCTGATGCTTTTACTCCCAAACACAAATGAAGGTTATCGATTATTCACTAGAAAATAACACCTTTCTTCTTACAGGATGAACTTAGCAATGACAGCATCATACTACAGTTTGCAGTAAACATGCATGCAATAGACCATATTCATATACCATGGTATATGGTGCTGCTGTTGCTGTTAAGATATGATTCAACCAGTGGTGCTTGTTCTTCCGAATGCTTCGTTCTACGCGCTCTTGTGCGACTGTCCACATTGGACTGAACCATTAATGGCTCCTGGCGCTTTTTCTTCTGCTTCTGTTCTAGCAATGCTCGCTGAGGAAAATACAAAGAAAATCATCAGGTTACTGGACTCCAAACAATAGCAATCTACGATGAAAAACAATAGATTATCTTTAGGTCTTCTAAGTTTTCTAGTGGTGGGAATTGGCAAGTAGGATCTTGGGTTATATTGGGTAATAGGAAATCTTTCAGGGAAAAAAAAAACATCACCAACCCACTGCTAAAACACCTTCTGCTGAAAACAGCAAATAATTAAACTAGATCTTTCTGAGCACTCTATCAGCTGTCAGAGCTTACTTGGAAATAACCTTTGGAAAAACAACAGTGAGAGAAGCTGTGAAGCAATGGGAGGGTAAGCAAGGGCATGAGACACAGAGATGCCAATTTAAATTTCCATAAATCAAAAGCAGATCATCTGCAAATTAGAAACAAATGATAATGCTGGACGTGAGCTTAATCTAATTATACAAGACAAACTTTAATTAAACATTTGAATTTCTCAGCTACACCTGCAGAAAACCAAAGCAATACTGATGGAATGCAAGGAATTATCCTGGCAGTCACACAAATTTCTTCTCCCAGCTGCTTTGTGCAGTTTCCATTGATACCTCTCTGTTTGAGACATCTTCCACAGTCTTAGAGAACAGAAATGTTAATTTGACTTATCCATTTCATTACCACTTCTGTGCTCATACACAGTGGTATCCTGCTCTTAAAAGAGAGATATGCTAGAAATTAAGAACAAGAATGGAGACTGGAACCTTACAGCTCCTTAAGGTGTCTGAAACATTCCAAGATAACTTCAGAATGGTCAGCATAATAATAAGCAGAAAGTGTTCTCACTTGAAAATGAAATGCTAGTAGACATGCAAACAACAACAACAACAAAAAGACGGGAGAAGAAATGGATGTAACAACAAAAAATTAAACTTAGAAGTTTCATTTTAAACACAAAGGTTTATGGAAGAAGCATCACACAAAAAAAAGGTGAAATGGAAACCTCAAACCCCATTAAAACGTAATGGCAAAATTTCCTGAGATTTCACCAAAGAGATTCTGAATCATTTTCTTGTATGAATCGTGCAGGATAACAGTAGCAAAACAGGCAACATAGAACATAATGCCACTGGTTCATAGCCACGAGGTTAAGCACATGGAATGAAAAGGAAAAGATGTAAATCTTTTCTCTCTGTGATGAATCTCTGTTGGCCAACAACTTTGCAAAAACCTCTTGTCCTTTCCAGTCCATCAGTGATAAGCAAACTTCAAATAAGTCCAGGGCAGTAGAGATGTTAATCTCATAAGAAAAATTTCAGTAGAAGTTAGAATTTTACATAAGCTGCAACCTCCACAGACTTCTCATTTGCATTCCCTAATCAGAGATGCAATTTTCTTGCATGATATATTTACCAATTACCAGATATGCGTGTTGCAGATTTCACTGCTCCAAGATCTAGACTTCAGAGAGCAATAAGATATTCCTCCAAATCTTACCTGTCTGTCAAGCTTCTGCTGACGCAGGTTGCTCCCCTCATCATCCAGAACACTGTAAAGACAAGTACATAATTAGAACAGATTAATCACTCAAAATAAACACCAAACAGCAATCATTTGCCACAAAAGCTACTTATGTAAAACTTCGACTGTGCTCCATGGAAGTTTGCCTGTCTCAACTCGCAAAAGCTGGCTTAAAAGAATTTAAATGCAGTCTGTGAAAAATCTGGAAAACTCTCGTTCACATGAACTTTAATAAAAATTTTATGTTCAACCAGATCACAAAGAAATGCAAACTCTACAGTCTACAGCTTGTTTTCTTCTCCGCCATCTTCTAATGAAAACGTCAATGTATACAGCAATGGGATTTGACTGAAAATTTGCATATAAATCAGATACAAAGTAATGAGCATTAGCAACTCAGCAGTATTTAAAATCATCTTGGAAAAATTAACCATCCAGACTTTGCACACTGAACACCAGAATTTATTTCCGAGTATCTGAAAAGCCACCCTTATTGACATGCTGCTCAATTCTTAGAGACTGGCAAGACAAACAGTATGGTGCCACTGATGTATTTCTTGCTGCTAATTGTTAGTAGTTGGGAGATTAGCTCCAGCACTTTCAATTGTTTTCATTAATTAGATATTAAAACTAATGGTATTGCAATCAGAAAACTACTGTTATGAGGTATTTTATCAAATGACTGACTATACTTCTTTTCTAGAGAATTAAGGTCTCCATTGTAAGAACATTATGGTTAAACTTTGAATGCACATCATTAAGTCTTTTAAATTGTAATATATCACCTACAAGAAATACACTGTTACAGAAATAGCCTCTTACAAGCAGAATCCATTTCCTCTTACAGCACTTAAAAAAAATAATAAAGAGATTAGTCCCATTTCTATAATCACTCTTAACTATTAAAGAGATGAAAAGGTATCCAGGACAAATGAACCTGCATTCTGACATATGTAAAGCCAAATTATATTTCAATGGAAATAACAGAGAGGACTTGTCATGTATTAATACATACTCCTTAGGAGAAAAACCAACCTAGCAGTAGAGCTTAAAAAGACATACAGATGGTCATCTTACCAACACCAGCTTCATCAAGATCAACAATTAAGTACTACTGGTAGTATCAGCCTTTAAAGTTTTTACAATTCTTATTTCTTACTAAGACTGACATTCCAGTCTTAGTGAACTGAAACTAGTTTGTACAAGAACCTGAGGAAGGAAATAATGCAGTCTCTTGTAGACACAATGCATGATTCATAATAAAAAAAACAAATTCTTCTGCTTTATACCGAGCATTCTTAATCAGATAAATTACAGAAACAAGTTGCAAGAAGGCACATATTCCTCCACAGTACACAATATCTGCTTATCCAGGGGTGTTTTAGTACAACCACAATACATATTAGCTGCACTAATACCCAGTGAGATACCTTCAAACTAACAATTGAGCAAGAGATACCAAGAAGAAACTTTTGGGCTTAATGGACTGAACAAATCCGTCTCATTTAAGATAATGCTAGAGAAAAAGACAAAAACATGTAATGATGATAGCACAGATCCTAAGAAGTGCAGAGGCAGCAATGCATGTGCAGCTGTAATAGTTAGAGAGTTCAAGAGCCAATATTGCTCCACTTCACCAGTCATTTGCAGAGCTAAGGAGAAAACTCTGATCTCTTCTTTCATACTCTGCTTTATAAAGCAGACTGTGCTGACGCCCTCAGATTTGTTAAATGAGCTATTTATACACTTCTCAGACATTCCATAAAGCACCAGTTCAGTTGTCATCTTTACGTGCATATAATGGTTTCAGTACTATGCTGGATCAGCTTTAATTCCAAATTCTCTATCACAGACAAGGTGCATGGGCACTCAGGATGTCTGTAACTTCCTGTATCGTATCCTGATGTACCACACTGTGCAGAACAAGGGAGAAGAGAAATCTCCTCAGACTTGCTTTAAACCTCACCTGGGTTTCCCTGGGATGCCACAACAAGCTGACCTCAGGTCCAACTAAACAAGCACAGCTCCACAGGTCTCCTCACTCTCAAACCTTACACAGTAAACACAGCTGTTTAAGAGCACCACAGCAAACATCAGGCAGAGGAAGGGTGTGATTTGCATTGATTCAGCATTCCAGGAACGCAAAGCAATGGTATCAGACATGCTGAAGGACTGCCAAGAAAATGAATCTCCATCTAAAAGCTGTGGATACCATAACATGAAAACACCCTTCCATATTGCCCCCTTACTTTAAGACATTGGTAAGTGAATAAATATAACCAAAGCTGACAGCAAGAGCATCATGCCTTGATACCCACCTGCAAATGCCTTCTGCAGCTTCCAAGTCTTTCTTTCTGTGGCTCCCTATTTTATAAAGTTCTGGGTCGTTTCCCACAATCCTTTTGTAAACATGCACTTTACTACAAGCCTTCCCCTTGCTGCAGTATTTAAGCTGCAATGCTCAGCACTAAAACTGAACTCCAGCTTTCTTCACAGACACCAAGGTTCAGTAGAATACAGTTCATCAATTCTCCCACCTTTCAGATGGACGGCATTGTATTAGAATGCTTTACTGCCATCAGACAGCCACACCACTCTTCTGAGTCCAACACAGTGTAGACAGGGCCTTAAAAGTAATCCAATTACCACCAGTTATATTTTAAGTTACCAATGCCACAACCGCTGAAAAGCTCTGATTTTGTCCTTTCTTGATGCTTATGCAAGCGTAGAGAAGAAAAGGATCCAAAATAGCCTGTATATTCTTCTGAGATAATAGCAAAATGCTCTGTACTCTGAGACTGTACTCTTGTTATTTTCTATGAGACCTTGGAACTGTTAATCAACAGCCAGTAATTCACATAGCCTGAATTTCAATGGAAGAACTCTCCTAAGACTGGATGACTTCCAAGATTTACCATAAAGGAACATTCGGCTTTGGTAAAAAATAAAAAAATAAAAAAATAAAAAAATAAATAAATAAAATAAAATAAAATAAAATAAAATAAAATAAAAGATCTGTTTCTGGAGCAATGCCATCAAGCCCTCACTTTTGCTGCCTTAAAAACAACTGCAGCAGACTCTGAGATGCATCTGGCACTCCTTGCACCCTGGTGGGTATTCCAGGCTCCAGGAGCTGAAATACAGCAGATTTGCCCTTTCATTTCTTTGGAATACATTAAAGTCTAGGAGGAGCAGCAGAGTCTTTACTCTTCCCAGTCTCTGAAAAGAGCAGAAACCAATTTCTTTTTCTCTTGGAAGAAGGGAAGAGCAATAGTACTTCTGCAGCATAAGCTGCATGCAAGGAGGAGACCTCGACCATCTTACAGAAGCAGCAAAGATTTTGTTGCTCCATAATCAAAATAAGTGAGATGGACACAGACTGAAGTCCCAGAACAGTAGGAAAACCATAGCTGTAACATGGCAGGATCACTACAGGAAATAATCTTGTAGAGAGTGAGGCTATTAGAACAGTTCTGCCTACATGCTTGGTGAGATGCTAGGAAATTCCAGTAGCAGCATGAAACTCAGTCAGTCTTAATAGAGAAATACACTTTATAGCTCATGAAAATTAAATTACTGAAGAGAATGCATACATACGAGCAATCTGCTGGGTGTGCTGAAGCATCCTGAAGATCCAGCAAGCTGCATTTTCCCTTCTGTTTGACCAAATATCATGTATTCACCAAGCAACTTGGCCATGGCTTTGACACCATTTGTAAGGAAGAGCAATTTTACACGTTGTATTGTATTATAAACAGTATTCCAGGTTTGCAGCAATACATTCTATTCCAAATTCAGTTAACGAATCATAGCTTGTATATATTTCCTTCTAGATAACTATTCAGAGAAGATTCATCCATCTGTATTCAAACTCAAGCAACCTACCCTTGAGAGCTTACTAGATGTTGGGCTTAAGAAGTTTGCAAGACTACAGCTATATATTATAGAGATTCAAGTTGGTGGTGTGGTCCAAGATCCATAAACTCAAGTAATAAAACAGATAGCAATATTTTCAATTTTTTTCACATGGCATTTGATTCAAATATCCCCCATCCTGTTTTCTAAAGGGAACTATAAATGAAATATCAACTTGTTAAAGCATTACTTTTTAAACCACTTTTTAAACCAAAATCTATTTTACTGAGACAGTTACAACATAAAATTCAATTTACACAAAAATAAACAGGCTTCCTAAAGCACTGCATATCATAACAAAGACAAAAATATAAGAACTTAGTTTATCTTAGTATTTCAAGCTCTTCATAATCTGTTTTCCTTAAAAACCTTTTTGAAGGAAACTCCAGAAGTTTTAAGACAAAAGCTAAAAACCATTATGTGAAGCTCCTCAATTTGCTTGCTATATTTTCCTTTAACTTCACAATGCTTAATTTCAATTTAAGTAAAATAGGAAAAGCCTTAATCCAAATACATTTAACAGAGAGCGACTCGACTTCTTTCACAGATTGTGCAAACTGCTCCCATTTCAGTAAGCCACTGCAAGCAAAAAGAACAAACAAGAAATGTTTTTAATTAAAATGTGGAAGATGCATGTAGTCATTAATTCATTTACTTATTTTTTTTAGAAAAAGTCTGACACTGTAAAGCAGATGCTGCTTCTGCCAAAGGAAGCAATGTTTTCTTTCTTCCTGACACTGCCTTACAGAGAAGGATTTTCCAAGACAATAATGTTTTATTATGACAGAGGTCTGAAATCACATCTATCACATCTCTGCAGTTCAGCACTTAATTGTAAGGAGAAAAGTTCCTGTATTAACAAATATTCATACGACTACTAAACTTTCATACTGTTTAAAAGTGTCACCCATGCATATTCTTTTACTGCTTGTTCGTGACAATATATTGCTAACAGCAGCACTCCAAAACTCCATGTGAAATCAAGGACCTTTGCACAAGCAAGATATACATACATAGTCAGGGAGAACTCCTGGAACAAACAGTTGAGTTTATTAAAAGTTTGGATAAGAAACTGCTACCCCATTTACAATACTAAACTATACTGCAGCCTTG